TATAAAATTATAAATGTAAAGATTGAAATTTTTTCTACAATTTTTTGTAAATTAATTAAAATAAATATTGATTTTTTAGTGCACGAACAACCAACAGTGCGACAAAGGTTTTTGCATTCCTGATGGAGAGATGTATGAGAGGTTAGTATGCTATCGACCAATGTCTCATAATATATAGAGATAGATTCAAGATTAATCTCTTCAACGTACAGTCCCCTGATGAATAAAAAAGATTTAAAACGATTTATATTGATGTATCGTATTTATTTAATACAATAAATACTTGTCCGAATAATTATTTATTTGTTGATTATTATTTATCTCTAATTAATAAAATTTAGTAGCTTAAAAAAAAATAAAATAGAATTCTATGAAGGATATACAAAATTTACTTACCTTAATTAAATAATTAAAAGTCTTTCAAATATTTAAGAAAAAACCTTCAAAATATCAAAAAATAATTGACATCTTTGAATTTTCATTAAAATTCTTAACTAAAGCCTAAAAATAAATAAATTATTATTAATAAAAAAAAAGAGTTTGTTATTTTTATAAATGCTTAGCTCTGCGACCTAGATCGTGAAATCCCGAGTAAAATGACTCCTTGGACGATATATTAATTCCCAAGCTTTGATTAAAAAAATCGCATTAATAATTTATCAAATGATCTATAGATCATTAATCAAAAATCGACCTACGGCCGATTGAGTCGTGCGATACGTCATTTTTTTGGAAATTTTCTCACGATTTCTAAAATATTATTCATTTTGCTCTAAAAAATTCTTGAAGCTCAGAAATCTAGCTTTTAACTAAAATAATAAGTTTTTAAATTCTCCAGACTTCTATTTTAATGCTTAAAATTAATTCTAGGATAATAATAATAATAATGAAAATAAAAATGAATAAAAAAATGTTTGATAAATATTAGAGGCATTTATTATTGGAAATAACGATGTCAAAATAATAAATTAGTTCGACAGCCACCTCGATTCCTGGACTAGGTAGACTTGCGATCCTGGTACAGTGGCAGTAGTGACAAATGTGCGGTGTTTCTTATGGATTGAAGCTAAATTCCTTTCAGCAATATCTGCGCTATCTTCAGAAGCTTCAAGTTCCTTTTTTACTTTCTCCTCATTATAGCACGCTACAATTCCCATAAGAAGCGTCAATGCTAAAATTACCAGCAATATTTTCGGCATTTTTTATTTCAAAATTAGCTTTCAATTTATGATGCCTAAAAATTTATTTTAAAAATTAATTCTTTTTAAAATTGACAATTTTATTTAAAATGTTTTAAATCTAAATGATATATAATACAATTTTTTTATGGAGGTTTTAAATAATTAAGATTTGGACTCACCAAAATAGTTGAAGAAATAACTGACAAAGAAGTAGAATCGTGCTTAGTATTGATACGAAATAAATTGAACGCGAAAAATCTCACATTTTACAACGCATTTCGGTTATACGACTACGAACAAAGGATCTGTTGTTTGCTTCAATTTTTGGAGAATTTCCGATCAATTAATTTAATTAATTAATTATCTCGAAGAATTTGTCGCTTTACTAAAGTATTATTTAATGACTTTAAATGAGTTAGATAAGGCATTAATGTTAGTTTTTTTTTTGGATATATTATTGAAACGAGTATAGTCGACTTTTGCAGTTATTTTTTTTCGTTAGAAAATTAATAAAAAAAAAATTTGTTATTTTTATAAATGCTTAGCTCTGCGACCTAGATCGTGAAATCCCGAGTAAAATGACTCCTTGGACGATATATCAATTCCCAAGCTTTCATTAAAAAAATCGCATTAATAATTTATCAAATGATCTATAGATCATTAATCAAAAATCGACCTACGGCCGATTGAGTCGTGCGATACGTCATTTTTTTGGAAATTTTCTCAGGATTTCAAAAATATTATTAATTTTGCTCTAAAAAATTCTTGGAGCCCAGAAATCTAGCTTGTAAGAAGAAAATTAAGCAGATTAAATTTTTAAGAATAAAGAAGAAAACTCTAGAGTTTAAAATTAATAAATTAAGGATGATTAATTATAAAAAAGTATATTATTATTCCGACAAGTATTTATTGTATTTTATGATACATTATTTTAATGCCACTCGTCTTAATGTCTTTCATAAAAATCTAATGGTTGGCATTTGTAGTAACCTAGACCCATTGGATCTGCGCAAATCCCGTATCGGCACACTTCATTTTGGTGGCACTATAGTTAAGAAATAAATATTTATTTCAATGAATCTTATTAAATATAAAAATTTTTTTTCCATGTAAATTTCGATTATGTAATAATAATAATAATAATAATAATAATAATAATAATAATAGGGATTAATTTTAAAAATTAATTCCTTTTTTAAAATGTTTTAATTTTAAATAATTAAAATTTGTACTTACCAAATAGAAGAAGTAACTGACAATAAAGTGGAATTGTCATCAGTAGTTATAGGAAATTAATTAAATAATAAAAAAAACCCACATTTTATACAACGCGTATTTCTTTCAAATTTTCGGAATTTCCGATGATTAATTAATTCGTCGCTTTGTTAATTATTTTAAGTTAATTAGATAAAATATCATGATTATTTTTTTATTGTACTTGGTACTAAGTATTGATCAATCACTCTTAGCAACCAGTAAAAAATGTCCGACGACGAAGACTGGCGTCCTACTTTATCAGAATTAATAAATCTTCTTGGAGAATTAGGAATTTCACCTCCGGAAAATTCCCCTTTAGAGTCCTTAGAATCTTCCTTAAGTTCCCAAAAATTCCTTACAGATTCCGATTATGAGGAGAATAGTTTCCTCTCCTCGATTTCGGAAGATTTGAATCGGGAGGAAGCGCTGGAAAATTTGAGGGAGTTTAGGAAAAAAGAGGAGGAAATTCGGATAAAGAATTTTCAATTAACCGAGCGCTTGATTGAATTTTTTGAAAGAAAACAGATGAGCTATGTGATGTGCGAAGTAGATGATGAAGAGCGAGTTGAAAATTATTATAAAATTTTAAAGAAATTGAAAATTTATAAAGAAAAGCTGGAAAATTTGAGGAAAATTTCTGGGGAAGAGCTTGAGGGGTTAAAAGAAGAAATTGAGAAGAAAAAAAGGAAAATTGAAGAGTTAATTGCGAAAATTGTGGAAAATCAGAGGAAAATTCGGGAAAATCTGGGGGAGGTAAAAGAAAACAGGAAAATTTTTAAGTTAATCAACCGGCAGTTGGATAAGATGAAAATTGTGTCAGAGTACCAGCTTAAATATGTAAGTAAATTTTTTTTTAAAAAGAAAATTTCGAGGAAAATTTTTTGGAAGAAATTTGAAAATCCACGCAGGCTGCGACCTAGAATTCGCCAGCGCGAGTAAAATGAATATAAACACTTGTATGTTTGGTTAATTATTAATGCCAAATTAATTGATTAATATTTTATTAATCGATTAATCAAAAATTCACCTGACGCTAATCTAGTCGTGGGACGGCTTATTTTACTCGGGATATAATCGACATTAAATATATCCAATTAATTTTTTATATAAAGCCTTCCTTGATACTTTAATCGGGTCATTAATCATTAATGAAAAAAAAATTGTTTTTTTAATAATGTTTTGCTCCGCGACCTAAATCATGAAATCCCGAGTAAAATGACTCCTTGGACGCTATATTAATTCCCAAGCTTTCATTAAAAAAATCGCGTTAATAATTTATCAAATGATCTATAGATCATTAATCAAAAATCGACCTACGGCCGATTGAGTCGAGCGATACGTTATTTTTTCGGAAATTTTCTCAGGATTTCAAAAATATTATTCATTTTGCTCTAAAAAATTCCTGCAGCTCAGAAATCTAACTTATAAATAAAATTTTGCAGATAAAACTCAGAAATGAGCTCTTCGATCTTCACAATAGTCTGAGCTTAATAATCAGGAAAAATTCTAATTTAACTAAAACAGACTACGAGCTTCTAGAAGCTGAGAAATTATTTTATACTCAGCAATTGGAACAGAAAATCCAGCAAATTAAATTTTTTAAAGTAAAGAAGAGAAGTCTAGAGTTTAAAATTGGAAAATTAAAGTCCGAAATTCGGGATACAGAATCTCAAATTCAAAAAAGTGAAATTTTAAAACCAGAATTGAAGAAAGAAATCCTAGAGCTTGAATTAAGAAAATCTAAATTAAGAGAAAAATTTCTGGAAAGGAAAATTTTGAAAAATAAAATTAATTGCCAGGTATTGGTTAAAAAAAATGGAGGATTAAAGGAGTATAAAAAAAACGTGAGGCAGGAACATCAAAAATGGATTAAAAAAATTTCTAGGCAGCTTAAACAGCTCAAAATTTTGAGACAAAAAATGAGTGCAGTTAAAACTTATTTTATTTTGCATGAAAAAAATAATTAATTTTTTCCACTTAAAGAAAAAAGTTTTTTATTTTCTAATAAAATATTCATATTGCCCATTAAATTTCCTATAAGCGCATTTTTTTATTTTTTAAATCCGACGTAGGTCACCAAAATGGCATTGGCGAGTTGCGAAAGTCGCTAAAGTATTATTGCGAAAGTCTAGGGTTCGATTCTCAGTCAGAGTAAATTTTTTTTTTTTTTTTCATTTATTAAATTAAAAATCCTTTTTTTTATAATTAATATTATTATTAATTACTATCTAAATTAAATTAACAAAACCCATTTTAATAATCTAATTATTAAATCTAACTTGTATATTTTTATTAAAAATAATTCAGGCAGTGAATTTTTAAGGCTAGAAAATATTTTTTAAAAAAAAAAGATCTAATTAAATTTTTTAATTAAAAGTATCAAAAATATTATTTTAATTTGTAAATATATATCTATATATTTTGTTTATAAAAATTTGTAAACTTTTGATTTGATAAAATATTATGTTAATAAAATATTATTAAAAAATTAGTATTTAATTTGAATATTATGTAATGTGAAATGTAATGTAATTAATTAATAAAAATAATTGTAATTATAAATTATAACATACAACATTTCTTTTTATTTTTCTTATAATTAGGCTTGAGAGGCGGCCGCTCGGAAAGTTGAAATTTTCTGACGATTCTTACGAGCTCGTGGAACGCTTGGTCGACATTCATGCGCAATTTTGCCGAGCATTCGATGTACGGAATTTTTAATACGCGAGCCATGTTTTGTGCTTCGTCCATTGGTACCTAAAAAAAAAAAAAATAATTAGAATAATAATAATAATAATAATAATAAGACAAGAAAAAAGGGAGCTGATATTCGAAAAAAAATCAAATATATTGTATGAAATTACTTAATTATTTTTTTTTAATCAATTACACGGAAAGAACAAGATGACACTGGATACCATCTTAGATTATACTCAGTGACATCTGAGGTGAAAAAAATTTCAGATGGTAGCTAGTATAATCCAGATTATACTGAATAATATCTGGATTATACTCATTGTTATCTGAATTATACTAGCTACTATCTGAAATTTTTTTCACTCAGTATAATCTGGGATTATATCCAGTATAATCTTGTTCTTTCCGTGTACACAATTTATTTTTTTCTTAAAGAATTTTTTATTTATATTTAAAATATAAACTTACATATCTTTGATGATCTAAATCCGATTTATTACCAACCATAAGCATCGGAAATTCATCCCGATCTTTAACTCTCAAAATTTGCTTATGAAATTTAGCAATTTCTTCAAAAGAAGAATGATCTGTTACGGAAAATACCAATAAAAATCCTTCACCACTTCTCATATATTGTTCCCGCATTGCGCTAAATTCTTCTTGCCCCGCCGTGTCCAAAACTAGAAAAAAAAAATTATTAATCTCTATAATAATTACCAAATTATAAAAACCATTTATTAAAGTACTTACTGTCGAGCTTGGCTGGTACATCATCTATTACGCACTGTTTTGTGTAAGAGTCTTCAATAGTTGGATCATAATCCGTGACAAAATAACTCTAAAAAAAATTAAAATTGTAATAAAAAATGACTAAAATTCTATTTATAAACTTGAAAACAATTTTTACGGACATAACGTAATTCCTGGCACTCTTCCACCAGATGTATCCTTATCACAGCTTTTAAATGTCTTTTATCTCCTTTAGAATCATTTATTACCCATAAATCGTGAGTATACTTAAAAAAAAACTATTTTTTCATCTTCGATACTAATTCCAGACATTTAAACATTTTTCTTCTCAAAAAACTATTAAAAAAAAAAAGTTATTCATTTTCTGACGAAATATTCTTATTGGCCATTAAATTTCCTATAAGTGTATTTTTTTATTTTTTAAATCCGAGGTAGGTCGCCAAAATTGCATTGGTGAGTTGCGAAATTCGCTAAAGTTTCACTGCGAAAGTCTAGGGTTCGATTCTCGGTCCGAGTAAATTTTTTTTTTTTTTTTTATTAATATAAATTTTTCTTTTTTAATATTTATTTTTAGACACTATTTAAAAAATTTCTTTTTAAGAATGTTTATTTATTTTAGACTAAATATTTACAAAAAATATAAATAAAAAAGAATTGTTTATACAGACGTATAAAAGCCGGGCTTTAATCTATTTTAGCACTACGGACGTGCAACCGTTATATTTAATGGTACACTATATTTATGATTATGAGTCATACTTAAAAAGAAAAAATTTTTTTTTAAATTATTTAATATTAAAAGAAAGTTTTTAATTTTCTGTTTCATTGAATATGAATGAAGTTATTTAATAACGTGGGTGAGATAAGCCCACACTTATTTCATCAATAGTTTTACTTTTTATTTTTTTTCTCTCATTAAAAAAAAATAAATTGTATAATATACGAGATGAAATGAAGAAATTACCATTTCAATGAGTCATTCAATTTTTTATCTATTTATAAGATCTTATATTAATGCTAGGTCACAATAAATTTAAATTTATAAGAATAATTATTTTAAAAATTAGAATCAATAATTTAATAAATAAAAAAATTAAAAAAAAATTACCCTGACGGAGAATCGAACCCTAGACTTTCTCAGTGATACTTTAGCGAATTTCGCAACTCGCCAATGCAATTTTGGCGACCTACCTCGGATTTAAAAAATAAAAAAATACACTTATAGAGAATTTAATGGCCAATAAGAATATTTCGTCAGAAAATGAATAACTTTTTTTTTTTTAATAGTTTTTTGAGAAGAAAAATGTTTAAATGTCTGGAGGTAGTATTGAAGATGAAAAAATAGTTTTTTTTTTAAGTATAATCACAATTTATGGGTAATAAATGATTCTAGAGGAGATAAAAGACATTTAAAAGCTGTGATAAGGATACATCTGGTGGAAGAGTGCCAGGAATTACGTTATGTCCGTGAAAATTGTTTTCATGTTTATAAATAGAATTTTAGTCAATTTTTTTTAGCTATAAATTATTATTTATGTTTTATAATAAAACAAATATTTAAATTAATAATGTAAACACGTAATAAAAAAATTAAAATAAAATACCTACGCAAACTTTTATTATTTGTTACGACATTATTCCTACAATAATTTTTATTATAAAAAAATTTTTTTTGAAAAACATTTTTTTTTTTAAATAATAAAAAACAAATTTTACTTACTTGTATAAATTGTATTGTTATAGCAGATTTACCAACACCCCCACCACCAACAACAACTAATTTATAAGTTTGTGCGTAACTTCTTTCACCATTTCGAGACATTATTTTGTTTTTTAATTTTTTTAAGGCACTTAAAAAAAAAATAATAGTAAAAAAAATTTAACGCTGTAAACACAAAAAATAAACTCCAGAAAAAAATTATAAACTCACAATATTTAACAAATAATTAAATTGAATGAAAAAATAAAAAAAATAAATGAATAAAAATTTTTAACTTGAATGGAACAATAAAGTGTGTGAAGTTATTAATTATTATGTAAAATATATAAATATTTTATGACGTTATATTAACATGGCTTTATCTTGATGCTTCACATACTACAACTCTAAATGTGTGGATTATATTATATTATATATATATATATATATATATATATATACAAAACATACATAATATATCTTGTGTGTTAAAATTGTACAGCTACTCAAGGTTGGACGCAGTGCATACAACTTAAATCATTCATTAATTTAAAAAAAAAATGAAAATTTAATTTAAGAAAACAAAAAAGAAAATTAATATTATTTTGGAGTTTGATAAATATTTTTGTGAGTAAATAAATTTTTTTTAAATTGTTTTTATAAGAGAATTTTATTATTAATTGAATAAATTGTATTTATATTGAGAGCGGCGCGCGTAAATGGAAAGCCGGGTGGTTAGCGACGGTCGGGCTATTATTAGCTGTTGGTAAGGTAGAATTTTTTTAAATTGGTTCAAAATTTTTAATCAGTCGTGTGAGTGGTTAAGGCATCAGCCTAGAATTATTTTTTAATTTTTTTAAAATTAAAAAAATTTTCCTAAAATATTAAAAATAACCCTATACACGGAAAGAACAAGATTATACTGGATATAATCCCAGATTATACTGAGTGAAAAAAAATTTCAGATAGTAGCTAGTATAATCCAGATAACAATGAGTATAATCCAGATTACAATGAGTATAATCCAGATTACAATGAGTATAATCCAGATATTATTCAGTATAATCTGGATTATACTAGCTACCATCTGAAAATTTTTTTCGCCTCTGATGTCACTGAGTATAATCTGAGATGGTATCCAGTGTCATCTTGTTTTTTCCGTGTAGTATAAAAACACTTTTCCTAGGAAATTTTCTAAGCTACAATTTTCTCCTAAAATCAATAATTTTCCTAATATTCATCCTTATTCTCTAAATTAAAAATAAAATCAGTCGTGTGAGTGGTTAAGGCATCGGCCTAGATTTTTAAAAATTAAAAATATTTAAATTTTCCCGCGCAAGGTCAGCAATCTTTTACCGACCGCATCAGAGAGAATAAATACAAACATTTATATACATATACGTACTTACTATATATACACTCGTCAACTTGTCAGCATCTATAACCTAAAAAAAAAACAATAATAACATTAGAATATTAAAATGTCAATATTGACTCAATTTTAAAAATTTTAAATAATAAATTACAATAATATAAAATAAATAAAATTTGTATTGTAAAAAAAAAATTAATTAATTAATTTAGTAAAAAAATAAAATAAAAAATGCAAGTTTATTAAAAAGGTAAGAATAATTTTTTTTTTTTAATTAAGATTAATATTTTACTAATTTATAAATTATATTTATTTATTTATTAAAAATTTAAGATTAAAAAAAATGTCTTGGAGTGAAAAAGGCTCACCTTGTTCGTCGGCATTAGAAGCATCTTCATCGAGAATGTCGAGGCAACGGTCGTCGTTGTACCACGGAACTTGGCCACTGGAGCGGGACTCCTGGAGTGCGGTTCCCGCTGGCGGGAACCGCCAGCGGGGAATCAGTGAAGTTGAAGGTGAAGTTGAAAACCATCCGGGAAGCGTGATAAGCTTCAACGGATTGCAGTCCGAGGAAGCAGAGCAAGAGGAGGCCCAGGGCGACGACAACGACGTCGCGGAGAACTACGACGTCAAGAAGGATATGATTGTTAGCTTGTTGGGGATGCTGATGAACGACAATTCAGGGCCGAAGGACACGAGTAATACTTTGTTGTCTTTGAGTACTTCGGTGGATAATTGTGTGCTTATGAGACAGTCTGGTAAGTTTTTTTTTTTTGTAAAAAAATGAGCGTAGCTCTTAAAATATTGGAGATAGGTCTATAATATAAAAACGTTTTTGGTAGGAAATTTTCTAAGCTACAATTTTGGTCACGAAATTGTCATCTAAAATCAATATTTTAGGAGTTATAGCCACTTTAACAGTAACTGCATAAAAAAATTATATTTTAATATTTTATTACTCTTAAAATTTTTATATCTCCTAAAATATTCAAAATAGACCTACAGTATGAGCATACTATGGATAGGAAAGTTTTTAAGCTATAATTTTGGTCTTTTATAAATTTTTTTCTAAAATCAATATTTTAGGAGTTAAAAATATCTTTTTTAGTGACTAGATTACAATATTTTATTTTTAATTATCTAGTTACTACTTTAATTGCTATATCTCCTAAAATATTGAAAATAGGCCTATAGAACTAACAAACTGTCGATAGAAAATTTCTCTTATAATTTTCTTCTAAAATCAATACTTTAGGAGTTATAACCACTTTTCTAGGTCCTAAATCCTTACTTAGTATTTTTTACAATATTATCACTGCTTCAATTACTATATCCTAAAATATTGAAGATAGATCTACATTAAAAAAAACATTTTTAATCATAAATTTCCTAAGCTACATTTAAAATCCCTAGATTTTTCCTTAAAATCAATATTTTAGGAGTTATGACCATTTTTAGCTCCTAAATTACAATTTACAATTTTCTCCTTTCTAATTACTCCAATTTTTCTCCTAAAACTCACTATTTCCCTCCTTATAGCCCCAAAACCCCTTTTTACTTTCCCCCCTCTCCCAAATCTTCCTTTCTCTTTTTTCTCAGATTCTCTTCTAAATTCCTCCAAAAAACCCTTTAAACCCCCCTAGAGTCCACAAATTCCCATCAATATTTTCCCCCAAACCTCTATTTTACCTACTAAAATCCTTTTTAAAGTCCTAAAACATATTTCCTAACCCCCACTCTTCCTAAATTTCTAAACCCCCCACTTTCTACCTAAAATCCACTATTCCACTTTTAACTTAGAAAATTCTTTCCTTTTTCAGGTTGCATCTCCCTATTGGTCCGCCTAATCCACTCCCCGAACCCGGAACAGTCTGTGCGCAGAAGCGCAGGTCGCGCCCTCTACAACATAATCCGTTCCACGGAGAACAAAAAGCAGAACCGGCAGGAACTGCACATCCTAACTCTAGTGGACCAATTGCGAGATTACTCCAGCAGTTTCTTAGAACCTAACCAAGCACGAGACCAGCACCCTCTATCAGCGCTTTCTGACCTAACAAAGCTATCCTACGTGGACGTTTACAGACACACTATCTGCCTAATGGGAGGGTTGTTTGCAATAGCGGAGCTTATAGAGACGGATTACAAATTGTACACCCCAGAGACAACTAACCCAAGTTGCCTAGCCGTGAGGAAGTACTGCGGGAAGATTTTGACCAATTTGACCTTCGGAGACTCCAAGAACAAAAGCTTGCTGTGTTCCTTCCCGGGGTTCCTCAGAGCTTGGGTGTCTCAGTTAAGGAGTCCGCAGGACGACGCGCACCAGGTTACTGCTTCAGTCCTCCGGAACTTGTCCTGGAGGGCGGATAATGTCTCCAAAAGGCACCTCAGGGAGTCTGGAACGGTTCGGGTGCTTATGGAAGCTGCGATAAGGAGCAAGAGGGAATCCATCCTTAGAGCCATCCTTTCCGCGCTTTGGAACTTATCCGCGCACTGTGCCAGGAACAAGGCAGAAATCTGCGGAGTTCAGGGCGCCTTGACCTTTTTAGTAGAACTTCTAGACCCTCTGGAGAAATCTACCTTAGCAATTGTGGAAAACGCTGGAGGAATTTTAAGGAATGTTTCCAGCCATGTCGCAGTTGAGGAAAAGTACCGGCAAATTTTAAGGAAAAAAGGAACCCTTCAAGTTCTGGTTCAGCTTTTAAGGTCTCCAAGCTTGACAGTTGTCAGCAATGTCTGTGGAACTTTGTGGAATTTGTCCGCTAGGAACGCAGTTGATCAGAAAACTTTGTGGGATTTGGGCACGGCGCAGATTTTAAGGAGCTTGGTTCATTCGCAGCATAAAATGATCTCCATGGGAGCCAGTGCAACGTTGAGGAACCTTTTGTCGGCTAGGCAGAGGACTTTTTTGAGTGATAATTTTGAGGACCAGCCTATTGATTATTCGAAGAAGTATTTGGAGCAAAAGCGCGGGGATTATGCTGAGACTGACTTGGATCAACCTACGGATTATAGTTTGAGGTAAGCTCTATGGTTTTTAGAGATTTTTGGGGCTAAGGGATAGGTTTAGAGGAAAAGTAATAGGCTACTTTTAATCTAGGTTAAATTCTGAAGAAAATAAGCCGTCAAGCGATAAGATTGGCCGCAGGTCAATTTTTGATTAATGATCTATAGATCTTTTGATAAATTATTAACGCGATTTTTTTAAAGAAGGAATTTTAATATCTAGGGGTTGTTTATATTCATTTTACTCGGGATTTAGAACCCTAGGTCGCGGTACTAATCATTTTTAAAAATTCAAATCTTATTTTTTTCATTAATGATTAATGAGGTGATTTATAGATCTAGGAATTTTTTGCAGAAAAACTAATAGGCCACTTTTAATCTCCTATAACTCCCGAGTAAAATGACCCGTGTCACGACTCAATCCGCCGCAGATCAAATTTGATTAATGATCTATAGATCATTTGCTAAATTATTAACGCGATTTTTTCTATGAATCACTATTACTACCTATGGGTTATACATATTCATTTTACTCGGGATTTCAAGCCCTAGGTCGCGGTGGGACTAATTTTCAAAAATACCAAATTTTTTTTTTTTTATTTCAGATACGCAGACCAGGAGCCTGAAGACGACCTCCAGCCTGACGTAACCAAAACCTACTGCACGGAAGGCACACCTTACGAAGGAACACCGCGGAATTTCTCAACAGCGACGTCAATGTCTGACCTGCGGGAACCGCAGGTCAAAAAGGAGGTCAAGGAGGTTAAGGAAGAATTGTACCTATCCAGAGTAAACTCCTTAAGCTCACTAACTAAAGAAGATCCTCTGGAACCTGACCTCCAGAACCAAGACCTCCAGGACCTCCAGGACCCTGAAAAGGACAAAGAAACCCAAAAAATGGTAACCTTCGCGGAGGACTTCGACGACAAGGAAACCCCGCTGATGTTCTCCAGGAGCAGCTCCTTAGGAAGTCTCAGCGGGTTCGAAGCGAACTCTGTCGACGACCACAGCTCTGTTATCAGCGATTTAAGCCGGATGACCAGCGGGATGATTTCTCCAAGTGAGCTTCCGGATTCTCCCACCCAAACAGTTCCTCCCAGTCCTAGAAAGAAGCTCAGGGACAATTTGGGGATGTTTGAGGACCGGCTGGAGAATTTTAAGGAGGAAAACACACCCCTGGAGTTCAGCAACGCGACCAGTCTCAGTTCCTTGACGATTGACGATGATAAGGGTGGTAAGGAGGGGGAAGAAGTGACCAAGGTCAAAGCTGGGCTGATTAAAAAAGAAGAGGGCTCTGATGAAGACGAAGAAATCCTTAAGGCGTGTATTAATATTGGAATGCAGCATCAAAGGGTTGAAGGTAGCAATTTGATTAGGTACCAAACTAGCACGACCTTGGATAGGCTTAGTGATGAGTCTCCTAAGAAAGGGAATGTTTCTATGGACTCAGTTCATGTTTATTGTACTGAAGACACTCCAGCGGATATTTCTCCGGTTGGATCTCAGTCAAATTTGTCCGCTTTGTCCATGCCGAGCATTCTTGAAGATAGAGTGGAAGAAGAAAATGGCGGAGTGGAGGAGGAAGAAAATGGCGGAGATGGAAGCTTAGCCGGGTCTGAGGAGAGTGGGGATGAAGAAATTCTAGGACAGTGCATCGAATCGGGAATGTCTAAGTGTATTAGTCCGACAGCTGAGGCTTTTTTGAAGCGGAGGGAGTTTAATGATCAAGAGGAAGAGGAAGAGGAGGAGGAAGAGGAGGAGGAGGAGGAGGAAGAAGAGGGGAATAATTCCTTTGATTCGGAAGAAGACGACGACGCGATCCTAGCGGAATGTATAGAGTCCGCGATGCCTAAGGGCAGAGTTTTAAATGACAAGCCAACGACCTCGAGGCAGGAACAAAAGTCGCCCTCTGTGGATAGTTTGAGTCTTTCCGAAGATGAAGAGGAGAATATTTTAGCGGAGTGTATAAGGTCTGCTGTTCCGAAGGTGAGTTTGAAGGGAGGAGGTTAAAAGGGAGGGTTATGAGGTTTAGGAGGCTCGGAGAGGGATTTTAAGAAGTGGGGAATGATAGTGAGGAAAAGAGCTTTTGTTTGAGTACCTAGTCGGTTTTTGGGAGGTTTTGGGAGGTATGGAGGATTTAAGAGGTTCAGGAGGCTCGGAGGGGGAGGATAAGTGGAGGATAGTGATCTGGAGGGAAAGAGCTTTTGTTTGAGTATCTAGTCGATTTTTGGGAGGTAATTTTTTTGGGAGGTTTGGGAGGTTAGGAGGTTTTAAGAAGTTCAGGAGGTTCAGAGGGGGATTATAAGCAGGGTATGATAATCTGGAGGGAAAGAGATTTTGTTTGAGTACCTAGTCGATTTTTTGGAAAATTTTGGGAGGTTAAGTAAATCTGCTTAACCTCCCAAAATTTTGAAAAAATCGAGTGGGTACTCAAATTAAAGGGAATTTTTACAGGATTGTGATAGGCTTGTTAAAAATTTCCTCCAAGCCTCCTGGAGGCGGAAAATTGAAGTTTTAATTTTGAGCAGAGATTTGGAATAAGGAACATTTTTTGGGTTTCAGGTTCCCAACGTGAATTTTGTGAACGAGGAGCGAGGAACGAGGTACCCGATCAATGGAACTCTGAGGACGTTTTCTCCCAGGATGAAAAGCTACGAGCCGATTGTACTCACGGATGAAATGGCAAACTTTGCAACAGAAGACACTCCGTGTAATTTTTCAGTTATTTCCGGGATCAGTAATCTGTCCTTCAATTCAAATTCTGAATAGAGTTAAATTAGAATTTATTTATTAAGGGGTGTGCATTGTTAGATATTTAAGTAAAAATAATTATAATTCGTTTGTTTTTTGGATTAAACATAATTGCCGCTAACTGTTAAGGTATAATAAGTTAAATTAAATGACAAATAAATTACGAACAAGTGTTCCGGTTAATATAATTTATAGGTACGAAAATAAATTTAATTGATTACAATTTTATAAAAAAATAAACAAACAAAATTTCAAAGTCAAATTTTTATTGATTATTATATTTTTGCACACCCCTAGTAGAAAATATATGACGTTCAATTACTGTGATTGCTAGTTAATGTTAATATTTTTTTTTGGATCAATAAAAATTTTTATACACTAAAAAAAATTGTTTTTTTTTTAATTTTAATTTTTCCTGATTTTGGGGGTCAAAAAAATTTTTTTTTGAAAAAATAATCCTCTTACCTTATTCTCCATAAAATTCCGCGTGAAATGACGAATATAAACCCCGACTTTCATCAAAACAAAGCTGAGAAAAACACAGTTAAAGTTTAGAACCTTTCCAAAAATTAATTAATGCTTGATGTTAACTCCCGGAAGTCCCATACCGATATTTCTAAAAAGTGCCGATCTTTTGGTATCCTCAGCTCCGGGGTGCTCTGTAGACCCGATCTATCGAAAAAAAAGTGCCGATTTCTGTATCAGATCGGCAAATATTAATTTTTTTCTAAAAAAAAAATTAATACGGGTGGGTAGATCATTAAATTACTACCGATAACAATACCGTCAACGTAATAATTTAATTCCATTTAAATTACATGTTAGCTTGGCCGAACATAAAGTCCAGACCGCTACCCCGTTTTTATTTTATTTTTTTCTATATCAATAAATACTCAATACACATATTTTTTATACAGTTAAGTATATTAGACATTACATATTACGGTGACATATTAGCCTATTTGCGGACATAAATAACCGACTCAGTCTCTTTTTTGCCAGTGAGTCGCCGGAGTTCTTATCGTGAACATCTAATTTATTTTTTTATTATTTATTAACCAATAAATATTTATACCAGTGTTTACTAATCAATAAAAGGTAAATTAATTTTTTTTTTATTTTTTTGAGTTTTCCACTCTTCAAGTAAGCTAAAAAAAGCCGTTTTTTTTTTTTTAACTAATATACCACTTTTGATCTCCTTTAAATTCTGAAAAAAATGAGCCGTCGCACGACCCGATTGGCCGCAGGTCGATTTTTGATTAATGATCTATAGATCATTTGATAAATTATTAACGCGATTTTTTCTATGAATCACTATTAATAACTATAGGTTGTATAGGCTCATTTTACTCGGGATTTCAAACCCTAGGTCGCGGTAATAATAATTTTCAAAAATTCAAACCTTTTTTTTTCATTAATGATCTATGAGGTGATTAATGGATCTAGGAATTTTTTTACAGAAAAACTACACGGAAAGAACAACAACTCACTGGGTGGTATGCATAGTAAAAAAAATTTCAAACTATAGTCAATATCCTTTAAAGTATACTCGGTTAAATAGGAAACTTTACGGAGTACAGTTAAAAACTCATGCAGTATACTTTAAAAGATACTGACTATAGTTTGAAATTTTTTTCACTATGAATACCACGGAGTATACTTTATGAGTATGTACAGTGAGTTATTGTTCTTTCCGTGTAATAGGCCACTTTTAATCTCCTATAACTCCCGAGTAAAATGACCCGTCGCACGACTTAATCAGCCGCAGGTCAAATTTGATTAATGATCTATAGATCATTTGCTAAATTATTAACGCGATTTTTTTATGAATCAATATTAATAACTAGGGGTTGTTTATATTCATTTTACTCGGGATTTTAAACCCTAGGCCGCGGTGGTAGTAATTTTCAAAAATAACAAAATTTTTTTTGTAATTCGCGGTTTGTCGCGGACCCCCCCTCTGGGCAAAAGTTAACACTAACCCTATCGTGTTTGTACTCAAACTACTCCTTAAGACCTCTTCTACCACCCCCACACCCTGGAAAATTTTTAAAAAATTTTCCGACCAAGAAAATCACACTTTTTTGCTTTTTTTTTCCAGATGTTCGCAGTTTTCAAGTTTTCCTTAGCGATTTTTGTGGTAATTAATTTACTAGCCACTCAGACGACTGCGGAAGACTTTGGAGGCTGGACAGAGAGTCTAACGAGGCTGTTAAAAATTTGCGCGAGTAATTACAACAGTTTTAATAATAGAATTAATAATAACAAAGAAAATGCAAAAAGTGATATTTTGGAGAGTCTTAAATTTTGTTTGCAAAAAAGAGCGGTTATAGCAATGGACGCGTTTTTCTCCGAAGAAGTTATTCCTCTGATAAACGGCGTTGATTTGATGAAATTTAACGATACTAATGCCACGGATTACAAGTAAGTTAATTAAATGTTTGTGGTGATATTACTGGTTAAGCGGAAAATGATGAGAACTTATTCTGTCAGATATGACCTAGAAGTTTGTCGCGGGAGATGTAATTACTCGCACGCTAACACCCGTTAAGTCAGATCAATTATTTTTGCACGATTGATTCTAAGATTGTTATTTTTTTAATAAAAAAATATTATTTTAGTGATTTACGAGCCAACTATTGATTTAAAAAAAAAATTAATAGGCCACTTTTAATCTGCGTTAAATTCTGAAAAAAATAAGCCGTTGCACGACAAGATTCGCCACTGGTCAATTTTTTATTAATGATCTATAGATCATTCGATAAATTATTAACGCGATTTTTTTAAAGAATTAATTTTAATATCTAGGGGTTGTTTAGGCTCATTTTACTCGGGATTTAGAACCCTAGGTCGCGGTACTAGTTATTTTTAAAAATTCAAACCTTTTTTTTTAATTAATGATCTATGAGGTGATTTATAGATCTAGGAATTTTTTTTTCAAAAAAATTAATAGGCCACTGTTAATCTCCTATAACTCCCGAGTAAAATGACCCGTGTCACGACTCAATCAGCCGCAGGTCAAATTTGATTAATGATCTATAGATCATTTGCTAAATTATTAACGCGATATTTTCTATGAATCAATATTCATAACTATGGGTTGTGTATATTCATTTTACTCGGGATTTCAAGCCCTAGGTCGCGGTAATAATTATTTTCAAAAATACCAAAATTTTTTTTTCTTTTATAATTATCTAGTGAATCATTCAACACAGCGCGAGCTAACGGTAAAACTTGGCCTGAAATTGTCTTCGGAAGGTTCGCAAGATTGTTTAAGACCCACGTTCTTAAAATTGACATTGACAGAATTGTCAACCCCGAAGCTTTTGTCGACGAGTCAAATGAAATTGTCGAAGGTAAAAAAATAAATAAATAAATTTTTATTTCAAAATTAAAAATAATAAATATTTTTTAGGACGAAGGCGCCACCACAGAAAACGACAGAACCACTTGATGCCAATGTTAATGATGGGAGTCTTAGTAATGGGGTCAGTTTTAATCCCAATGGGTTTCCAATTTTTGGCTGTCTTGGGAGGAAAAGCCCTTTTGCTAGCTAAATTGGCGTTAATGCTGTCCTCTATCCAAGGATTGAAAAAAATCGCGACCAACGGAGTCAATTACGGGCTCTACCACGCTCCAGTTAGTGATGGGTGGCACGAACGAAGCAGCCGCCTGGTAGATCCTTTAGCACAGTATGATGTGCCTTATGCTGCCCTAGCTCGTCATTAATTTATTAATTATTAATTAATTTAATTATACCCTATGATATGTCTATTTATTTATTTATTTAATTTATTATATTTTTTTAAGACACAGAAGACTTAATAAATGTATTTTATATAAAAAATTTTTATTTGTCTAATTTTTGGTGATTAATGTGCGATTTTTGGGCCAGGGAATGATTTTAGAGAAAAATTAATAGGCCAATTTTAATCTGCGTTAAATTCTGAAGAAAATGAACCGTCGTACGATAAGATTGGCCGCAGGTCAATTTTTGATTAATGATCTATAGATCATTTGATAAATTATTAACGCGATTTTTTTAAAGAAGGAATTTTGTTACCTAGGGGTTGTATAGGCTCATTTTACTCGGGATGTAGAACCCTAGGTCGCGGTAATAATAAATTTCAAAAATTCAAACCTTTTTTTTTCATTAATGATCTATGAGGTGATTAATGGATCTAGGAATTTTTTTACAGAAAAACTAATAGGCCACTTTTAATCTCCTATAACTCCCGAGTAAAATGACCCGTGTTACGACTCAATCCGCCGCAGGTCAAATTTGATTAATGATCTATAGATCATTTGCTAAATTATTAACGCGATTTTTTTTATGAATCAATATTAATAACTAGGGGTTGTTTATATTCATTTTACTCGGGATTTTGAACCCTAGGTCGCAGTGGCAATAATTTTAAAAAATTACAAAATTTTTTTTTTCAACCATTAATTCAATACTTCGGACTGCACGATCTCTTTCGCAATTTGTCTCGCTTCTCTCCGCTTCTATTCTCGTCCCAGCAAACAGGATTTAAGGAGTAAACAGTAAACAGAGTCATTTGTCAACAATCAAAGAAACAAATTCTTTCATTAATTGACTAATTAATTAATCCCAAGTAAACTCAACTATCTGTATCACGCTTGTAATTTAGTATCTGATAATATTATCAACATTTAAATGTTTACCTCGAAATGTGACGTTTGTTCATTCATTTTCACTTTAATCGTTGACGTGAACGTTAATTTAATAAACAATAAAAGTTTAATTGTGCGAATTTATTAATAATTTAATATCAATCATTGAGTTAAGTGGGGTCAAGTAACTGTTGATAAAAATATTTTATAAACATTATCAATTACCTTAATATCGGTTCTAATATTTTTCTAATTAAAATTGTTGATTTTTTTAATTTTCCGAGAAGTTTTTGTGGTTTAAATAAAAAAAAATTGTAAAATTGTTAATACTTCAGAAAATCGTTAATTGCAGCCAAAGTATTGAATTTACGAATGAAGTACTAAGAGATTTTTTGTAGCCCAGAAAATTTCCTATCCATAACACTTCTCAGGTGTCTAATTATTCCAATTATTTCTCTGGCAATTTTCCATTAAAATTAAAAAAAATTAAAAATTGAAAAATTAATTAATTACAGCGTAATTATTAATTTTACGGAAAAATTGAATTAATACTTTTTTGTAGTCCGGAAAATTTCCTATTTAAAACACTAATTAGATTTTCAATTTTTCCGATGATTTTCCTAATTAAAGAAAATTAAAAGAAAATTGTCATTTTTTTATAAAATCCGATAGTTACTCAAAAAAGGACTAATTGCAGCCAAAATATTGAATTTACGAATGAAGTACTAAGGAGTTTTTTGTAGTCCAGAAAATTTCCTATCCAAAACACTCCTTAAGTGTCTAATTATTCCAATTAGTTTTCTGGCCAGAGACATTTAAAGATTTGAAAAAAAAAAAAAAAATTTTTTATAGTTTTTTAGTGCTAAAAAAAATGTAAAAAAAAATAATGACAATTGGGGTATGCGCGCTAGTGTCCTCTCGGATATCCTCGGTATAAAAAGAAGCGTGAAGGGTCGTGAGTCTCCAGACACACTTGTATCTTCAAATTACCAAGTGTGTAATTAAATTGTCAGAAATAAAATTCTTTAGTAAATAACATAATAAATTTAATTGAATTGACGGGAAAAAAAACATCTTAATATATTACGTGTTATTAATAACAAACTGTAATTATAATTATAAATAGTGCGCGTAATTTTTAAGTAAATAAATAATTGTTTAAAGCTTGCGATGCCGAGGCGCGAAGTTTTCATTCTTATCTTTGTATTTTTTACGATTACGCTCAGCTATGCGAGCATTATCTTGCATGAGCGCCATGCACCTGCTGGCAAGGTGAGTAATTGATTTATTTTTTTTTATTTCTGGAAAATCTTTTTGGAAAATCTTTTAAAATACTAAAATATTAATCTAGAGTTTTAATTTTTATTTTAAATTTCCAAAAAATATTTTCAATAATTTTTCCGACCAGAAACGTTATTTTTCACAATTTTGAAAATTTTAAATGGCTGCCATTTTTAAACTAATTTGCCGATTTTGCTCATCTTCAAACTCGTTCAAGGTAATCACCCAAAGAATATGTGTACGAAGTTTCATCAAGATCGGCAAAAAACTTGTGCAGATATCCTGATTACAAGGTCGGTTATATACATACTAGGGTTGTGCAAAAAAACCCTTTTTTTTTTTTTTTTTTTTTTTTTTTTTCCGAGTCCCAAGTGAAAAAATATTAGTTTTTGATATTTTAAGAGCTCTCTCCAAAGGACAGCTTAAAAAAAATTTTTAAGAGGTCGCGCAAAATTTTTTTAAATTTCAAAAATCGAATTTTTTTTTTAATTTTTTTTCTCGTTACGTCATCATTTTGTAGACCAAAAAAAAAGGTTTGCCTGAAAGTTTCAGGTCAAAATGTGAATTTTAAAAGGTCGCGCATAATGTTTTTTTTAATTTATTAGTGACTATTTAATTGGATTAGCATTTTTTGACTGTGAAATTTTAAAAAAATTATGAGCAACCTCTTAAATATTTTTTTTTGAGCTGTTCTTTGGGGAGGGCTTTTAAAATATCAAAAACTGACATTTTTTTACTCGAGAAAAACCCAATTTCACTTTCACTAATAATATTAATATTATTAACTGTAAATTATTGGTCATACTCTTCCAAGAATCCTTTTAAAAAAAGATCCGGGATTACCATTACGAGTCTCGGACGTCATCACCAGAAATCACTTCTCAATAAAATCCGGAATAAAAGATAATAATAATACTTAGCGGTTCTTATGGTGAAATCATACATGTAAAAAGTGTGATCGTAAGATATACCCCAGCAATCAATTTAGTCGTCTGACTAAAAAATCTTTTGGTGACTAAGTTTGACAGTTATCAAATAAATTTAATAACTTTCCCTAACTCGGTCACCGGGGATTCATTTTATTAAATTAATATAATTTTATCTCCTCCCCTTTCTAATTCTATTTCGATTTCATCGAAATAATTTAAATTACTTCTGAAATTGATATTGATACTGATAACGATAATTTGTTATTAAGCTCCAATATACAATATCACTTTTGTTAGTTAGGTAATCAAAAATCAATATTGGGGTGAAATTGACACTAAGTGCAATCGCAATTCAAATAAATTTAAACTACCTTTTTTTATTTATTATCTTTTTTAAGGAAAATATTTAAATTAGAGAAAAATTATTAAGTTTTTTTTGTAGCTTAGAAAATTTCCTATAAATTTTTTTTCTAACTTCAATAGTTTAAAAGATAATTCAATTTAAAATTTTAAAAAATTTTAGTTTTTATTTTCACCGCTATGTGGCGCATTGTCGCGGACTTTTCTCGCAAGTAAAAATCAATTTTTTGAAAAAATGGGTTAAAAAATTAAAAAAAAATTATTTTCGGCATTATCAAGCCGCTATAATTTAAATTGATAATAAAAAATTTTAAATTTTTATTAAAAATCTTAAAAATTAAAATTCTAGGAAAACTATAAGAGATATCGAAAAATTTTAAGAGACCTTTTTTGTAGGTTAAAAAATTTCCTACAAATTTTGTTTGAAAAATTTTTTTTCTAACTTCAACAGTTTAAGAGATAATTCAATTTAAAATTGTAAAAATTTTTAGTTTTTGTTTTTACCGCTATGTGGCGCATTGTCGCGAATTTTTCTCGCAAGTAAAAATCAATTTTTTAAAAAATGGGTTAAAAAATTAAAAAAAAATATTTTCGGCTTTTTTAGGCTTCTAGAATTTAAATTTTAATAAATAATAATGATTATAAATCTTAAAATGGAAATTTTTTAGTTAAACTCAATGGTATTATTTTAATCCAATTTCTTTGATATAAAAATATCAAGTATCCCACTGTGTTATTAATATTAAATTTCCGGAAAAGAATAAATGGTATTTTATCCATCCCCTAGATGTGATATCTGCTCTCGTTATTACGAGTATCAATTTTTAATGATTTTCTAAATTTACTTTATCTTCCAGATATATATAAATGAGTTTTATCGATTAGTGGGACGAAAGACAGGAAAAATTAACAACTTATTGCATCCTGAAATATACTTTAATCAATGTCACACACGTGACATTTTTTTTTTTTCAATTAAAAATTTAATTAAAAATATATCGTTACAGATGGCTCCAGACTCGATAACTAATTACATCTTCAAAGGAATAGGAAAAATTGTACCACCGTCTATAATTATTTCAGGTAAAATTTTAATTGCAATTTTAACCACAAATAAATTAGTAATTTATGAAATTTATTATTAATAACAACTACTTATAACATTCTTCATCGATTGGACCAAAAAAAAAATTTAGTTCAAAAATGCGCCGCTAGGTGGTGCATTGGCGCCAATGTTTCTCGCAAGCGCTAAGAAATTTCTGAAAAAAATTGATTTAAAAATTCGGAAAAATTATTTTTGATATTATTAGGATTCTAGAGTTTGAATTATTCGATGGCTACTCAAAAATTTAACATAAAAATTATTATTATTATTTTTAGATTGCGTGTTTGTGACATCAGAGCCTGGAAAATTTATCTACGAGTCGCAAAGTGACGAGCCTACAGTCTGCGGAGTTTATTTGATAACTGATCCAGATAAACGAATAGAAGTTAATTTTCTATCCTTCGACGTTCCTTGTGAGCAAGACGGCCTTGTATCGGTGAGTATTGCAAAAACTACTTAGTAATTTGTAAAATTAATGGAAGAAAACAACATTTCAAAACATTCTGATACTTTTGGAAAGAAAAAAATTTTAGTTACAAATTTCGCCGCTAGGCGGCGCATGGCATTGTAATTTTCTCGCAAGCTCAAAGAAATTTCTAAAAAAAATTATTTTTTTCAGTTTGTTGACGGCTGGGAGTTAAATGGGGAGTTTTTCCCGCCAGAGAATGACCACGAGCTGCCATTCGAGAAAAGAGTCACCGAGTTCTGCGGACCGAGAGTTAGCCACACGTTTTTAAGTTCTCAAAACAGCGCTCTTGTGCAGTATAGAGTTCCGTTCAAGGGCAAGGGCTTCACTATGTTTGTTCGCTACCGGAAAAACCCGTTTCGTAAGTTTTAAGAAACAATTTTTAATAAAAATTTGAGTTTTATCAAATCTGTGTGGATTATAATTTTTTGTGCGGATCTGTGCGGATTAATATTTTTGTTTTTTCCGAATATAATTTTTTATTTATCAAGATTATACTTTTAAGGATTTGTGCGGATCTAATACTTGTGCGGATCTATGCGGATCAGTCTTTCTTTGCGGAGTTATGCGGAATAATTTTTTATTCTGTATAAAAAAATTATTTAAACTCGACATTGTATTTTAGAGTCCATTGCGGACTAGATATTGACTGTGCGGATCCGTGCGGATCATTTTTGTCATTTTATATTATAATTATCATTTAAATCTACAAATTATATTTAAAATTATCCATACGGATCAAACTTTTCGTGCGGATCTGTGCGGATTTTTCTGCAGGTTATTTTTTGTCGTATGGTTAAAAAATTATTCTTTTAATCTTAAAATTGTATTTTAAAGATTTTTTGCGGATTGAATTTTTGTTGTGCGGATCTGTGCGGACTTCGTGCGGATTATTTCTATCATTTATTACAAAAATTATTTTTTTAATCTAAAACACGTACACTAGAGATATTGTGCGGATCAAAAATTTTCCGTGCGGATCCGTGCGGCTAAAAAATAATTTTTATTCAAAAAAATTTTCTTTTTCAGCTTGTAACATCCTAGTAAACAGTACAATGGACACCTTTACCCTACGGAACTTCGGTGAGCGAAAAAATTGCACTCTAGCTACAATCTACCCCTCCGCAGTCCAGATCGTGGCACTGAACGTCGGAACCAAGAAACTAAAGGGCCCCAGCTACTTACGGCAACTCGACGCAGGAATAATTCACCACTGCGACAAGCACCGATTGATGGACCAGGTTTTAATCGGCGGATCCAACGGTCTTGACACTTCCAAATTCGAGCTTCTAGATTCCGTCTGCGGATTCACTTCCAAGCCTGAGCGGAGCTTCAAGCTTATTGGCTGCGGAGTTACCGCGATCAGGCTGACCTCTAGCGGAATTTTCGACAACTCAGTTAGCGTTTTTGTACGTCCGGCAATTGATGAGGAAATTATGAATTCTAATTTAATATGCGGACTCTAATTGGATCATTAGATTATTTTAGAAAAATTATTATTGTGTAATAGATAATTTATTTACTTAAATATGAATCTCTGTGTAATTTTTATTTATTTTTATTGTAGAATTTTGGTTATGTATTCAAAAATAAAGCATTTAGAGTAATCATTAATTGTTTTTAATTTTCTACAATTTTTCTTTCAAATTTTTTTTTTACGATTAATCATAATTTTAATCATAATTTTATTTAAAGTAAAAAATTTTAAAGTCAAATTTTGAGCCAAAATTTTTAAATCAAAATAATTGTAAGAAATTTTTTTGTAGAGAATGAAATTAGCCAGAATATTAATTTTAAATAGAGTATTAACCGATCAATATGAACCTAGCAACGTAAACAGCTGCAAATCAAATCAATAAAATGGAAACCGCGACAAACCTTCTGTCAAATTTTTACGGGGTTAATTTTCCAAAAAATGGACCCAAAATATCTAAATTGACCAGCTATATTGGAAATAGTACCAAAGAGCCTCAATTATCGATTTCTTCTTCTTCTTCCATCGATGAAAGCTCTCAAAATTTGAACAGCGAGGTAAGAAATTCAAAAAATTAATTTGTAATTTCAAAATTAATTATTAATAATTAATTATATAGGTAAACACTTCTTCCGAAGAAGTCACGGCCCATAACCTGTTGAAGGTTTCAATAATCGATGAAGTTGACAAGGAAATAGATTTTGAATTTAAAAATTTGAATTTTGAAGAAGCTCAAAATTTGGATGAGGTTAATAATGATAATAATAATATTAATAATGAGAAGCAACAAATTGGAGTTGATAAGGAGGATATGTTAGATACTTATTCAGAAGTTTCAAGTGTGAAGTCAAAGGTTAGAAATAAAAAGAGAGGTAAATTTGAAAAAGAAAATTTTGGACAGTCAAGAATTGACACGGAAGTGTTGAAGAAAATTCCGGTTTTTAATGATAATTTTTGCGACCTTTCGAATAATGATTTAGAAGAGTTTCCTTTGGATTTATTAGAGAGGATTAGAAATATCAAGGTATGAATTTTGTTTTCATATTCTTGGAGAAAAAATGGAAGTTTTAAAATTGAAATTTTGGAAAAATAATTGGGTTTAGAGGAAATTTCAGAGCTTTCTTATAGATAAGAAAATTTCCTATCAATTTTTTTTAACTATAATAGTTTAGGAGATATCAAAATATAAAAATTTTTGAAAAAAAAAATTTTGGATTTATTTGGAAAATTTTTAAATTGAAATTTTGGGAAAACTTTTGGGTTTAGAGGAAAATTTTAAAAACCTTTTTATAGAGGAGATAATTCTCTACAACTTTTGTCTAAAACTTTTTTTTGTAACTTTAATAGTTAAAGAGATATAGCTATTTGAAATTAGAATGATTTTAGTTATTATTTTCACCGCTATGTGGCGCATTGTAGCGAATTTTTTCCGCAAGTTTAGTGAATTTTTTTGAAAAAATGGCTTAAAAAATTGGGAAAAATTATTTTTGGCATTGTTAGGCTTCTTGAAGTTGAATTTTGCAATGGCTGCTTGGAAATTTTATACCAAAAATTGTAAAATTTGAATTTTAGATGCTGTACCTAGGAAACAATAATTTAACAAATTTACCCGATGAATTATTCAAGGAATTGAAATTTCTAGAGTGGTTGGACCTGAGGAATAATAAGTTAAAAACCTTGCCGAAGGGAATAAAAAATCACAATTCTTTAGAAACGATTTTGCTCCAAGGAAATGAAATTGAGAAGCTTCCGGAGGAACTTTGTACTTTAGAAAATCTAAAGGCTGTTAATGTTGGGGGTGGGTGTGTATTTCCACCCCTGGAGGTCTGGAAGAAGGGGTTTAGAGAAGTAATGGAGGTTTTGAGAAAAGAGTGGAACAAAAATCACCCTGAAGAGTATATGCCTCGCAAAGGTTAGTAAAATTTACGAAAAAATCCGTTCAAGTTGACCTTAAAGGGCTGTAACTTTTTAAGGGTTGATTTTTTCAAAAAAACTAATCAGACCTTTTTTGTAGGGAATTTAATTCTCTATTAAATAAGTGAATTAGATTATTTTTAAAAAATTTTTTTGAAAGTCCAAATTTATAAAAAAGAAATTTTTTAGTTCTAAATTATTAAATTTTTTGAATTAAGCCGCTTAAAAATGGTAATTTTTGCTTTTATTTCAGAAGAAAAGCTTCCAATTTTATCTCAAAACATCTTTGGACGTACCAAAAGGCCCAAATTCAGGCCCAGAAGTCCCAAATTTTCCAAAAATTCAAGATTGCGGAGGTTATATTACAAACCATCGAATAAATGTCCGCAAGTTCGCAAATTATTATGCCCAAATTGTGTAAATACTCTAGAAAATTCTCAAAGTAAGGCCCTACATTTTGGAGAAGAAGATTCTGAAGAAGGGTACCAATTAAAAGTCCACATGGTTAAAAATAAAGCAAAAAGGAACAAGGAATATTTAGAAAATGAAGAAACGTACTTGGGTTCCAAAAACTGGGGGCCTAATAAACGAGATTTGGGACTGACGGTGAATTTAGAGGAAGAGGAGAGGGAAAGTTTGGAGAGGGGGAGGGTTAGAAGGGAGAAGATTAGTTTGGCAGAAGAGATGAAGAGAATTGAGGACATTCAAGTCAAAGAACGGGTTTACAATGTTGTTACTAATGACGGGGTGGTTACTAAATTGAGGCCCATGAGGTTGGGGGATCCTAATTGGGTCCTAGGGTTTGTGGAAAATTATCTTGGGTTTCATAAACAGGTTATGGCTCCATACACTGGGTTCAAAAGAATGTAATTTTAATGTTAAAAAAAATCTGAAAGGAACTTAAAATAAATAAGTTAAAAAAAATTAAAAATTGTTAGTTTATTTTGAGAACTAAAAATTAGGTTTAAGGAACTTAAATTTGTTCTTGGAACCTAGTAATGTTCCTAGAACCTGGTATTGTTCCAAGAACCTAGAAATTTGCTCGGCACCGAGTATTGTTCCTGGAACCGAACAATATTCCTGGAACCAAGTATTGTTCCTGGAACCAAACAATGTTCCTGGAACCGAGCGTTGTTCCTAAAACAAAACAATATGCCTGGAACCAAGTATTGTTCTTAGAACACATTATTGTTCCCAGAACCTAACATTGTTTTTAGAACTTATTACTGTTCCTAGAATCTAGTATCGTTCCTAGAGCTGAGTATTGTTCTTACAACCTAATAATGTTCCTAGAACCAAGTATTGTACCTAAAAGTCATTACTGTTCTTGGAACCTTATATAGTTCCTAGAACCTAATATTGTTCTTAGAACTTATGGCTATTACTAGAAGCTTACACTATTCTTAGAATTTATTAATGTTCCTATAACCTAGTATCGTTCCTAGAACTTAGAATTGTATTTCTAGAATTTATCATTGTTCCTAGAACCAAGAGATGTTCCTGGAACTTAATATAAGATATGAAATTATATTTAAAGAAACCTAAAAACTACTTTCACTTGATACCTCCTAAAAGCCCATACTGTTCCTTATGAAACCCTATGTTGTTCTGGGAACTTTATATTGTTTTAGGAACCTTACATTGTTCCTGGAACCTTATATTGTTCTTGGAACTTTACATTGATCGTCGAAATTAGTGTTGTCCTTATGGAACCTGACCTTGTTCTCGGAACCTATGATTTCTCGGGGAACTTGTTGTTGTTCCTGGAACCTAACATTGTTCTTGGAACTTAACATTGTTCTTAGAACCTTCTATTGTTCTGGGAACTTAAATGAGAACCTAATATTATTGTAACCTAAAAAAAATTAATTATTAATAATTACTTTCTAGATAAGCCCTTAAAAAAAATTTTTTTTTTTAATTGAACCTATATTAAAATATACAATAAAAATAATTTAAACTACCCTACTTATTAATAAATTGATTTTGTTTTTATTAATAAATGATCACATTGTTTTGAAATATTACATGATATTAATTTTTATAATTACTATAAATATGTGCATCATTATCCCTAGATCATGTCTAGTGCTTAGTTCCTAATAATATTTATCATTATAATTAATATTATTAATAATTATTAATTCTTTTTGCTTTTTTATCGATCGTTAATCAGTAAAAAAAAAGGTTACCGGGTAAAAAATGCGGATTACGGATATGAACCAGGTTATGGGCCCAGACCATAAAGAAGTGGTGGGGGGGTTAGAGGTTAGTGGGATCATGGAGGAGCTTGGGGTGATTAATGCCGGGCAGTGAATTAAGCAAATATAGTTTGTTTATAAAAACAACCGCGGAGTTGGCCTTGTGTTAGAAGCTCCGTGACATAGTGACCACGCCTGGAAGCTCCTCCTGACCCTGGTTGTAGTCTACGAACCCGAGTTTCCCGTAAAACTCGTGGGATTCTTTGTCCATTGCGCTAATGGTCGTGTGGATCCCAAAGGATCCTGACAACAATATTTTTATTGTAATTATTGATTAAATTAATTATTTTTTTGAGGTTAAAAACTCACCGTTTGCTCGCAGCGCCGCCAGTGAGCAGGTTATCAGTCTCTTGGCTATTGATTGGTCCGTAACTGTTGGAAGTAAGGAACACATCACTAGAGATGGGAACTGCTGTGATAATTGCTCTGGAACCTCCGGAGAAAATGAGTGAAAGTATCTTATAGCCTCCTGAAAATTAATTTATAATTTTTTTTTTAGGAAATTTTATTTAAGTTACTATATCCTCTAAAATTTTGTTCCTGGAACCTATTATTGTTCTAGGAACATGTTATGTTAGTGTTATTGGAACCTATTAATGTTCCTAGAACCTAGTACTGTTCTTAGAACCCATCATTGCTCTAGAAACTTGTTATTGTTCCTAGAACCTAGTACTGTTCTTGGAACCTAATATTGCTTTTTGGAACCTGATATTGTTCTTAGAACCCATCATTTTTCTAGAACCTATTAATGTTCCTAGAACCTAGTACTGTTCTAGGAACTTATTATTGTTCTAGGAACTCGTTAAAGTTCCTAGAACCTATTATTGTTCTTGGAACCTGATATTGTTCTTAGAACCTATCATTGTTCTAGAAACTTGTTATTGTTCCTAGAACCTATTGTTGTTCTAGGAACCTTATATTGTTCTTGGAACTTAATAATGTCTTTAATAAAAACGTTTTTTGTGGATATTTGTTAAATAATTTGTATAATTAAAAAAACTTACCTGAACACTTTCAGGAAGATCATTAGTAATATCTTCCAAAGGATATTTAACCTTTAATTCCGGGATCCAAGCAACGGCCATTTTCTTGTAGTGAGTTTTAATATTAAGCGCCGTCAGTGCGTAGCCTACGAGGCCAGAGTCATCTTCAATCACCATACAGAACTCTGGGCTTATTGTCAGAAACCCGCCGACTAACCTAAGAGATAAAAAAGAATTATTAATAATTAGATAAATTAAATGAATTTAAAATCATTACTACCAATTTGTCTTACCTATCTGCAACTGCAGAAGTTCCCGTAACTCCGGTAATACGGTTACAGAGGGCGTAAACTGCATCTTCATCAGAAGGTAAGTAAGGTCTGACGGTGTAGATTATACTGGTTGGAACTTCTGGTGCTTTGTAGACAAACAAATCGTTTCCACTGTCAACTGGTATTAATCTCTGAAAAAATATTAATAGTTAGAAATTTGGTTCTTGAAACTGAATTATGTTCCTTATAGAACTCTGTTGTTCTTGGAACTTTGTATTGTTCTTCGAACCTACTATTGTTCTTGGAAACAGTTAGTGCTCCTAGAACCTATTATTGTTCTAGGAACTTGTTATTGTTCCAAGAACAATTATAGGTTCTATGTTCTTTATGGAACTTTATGTTGTTCTTAGAACCTTATATTGTTCTTGGATCCTACTGTTGTTCCGGGAACTTATTATTGTTCCTAGAAAAACAATAGGTTATAAGTTCCTTATAGAACTTTATGTTGTTCTTAGAACTTATTGTCGTTCTAGGAACTTATTATTGTTGCTAGAACCTATTATTGTTCTAGGAACTTGTTATCGTCCCTAGAACAACAAAAGGTTCTATGTTCTTTATGGAACTCTATGTTGCTCTTAGAACCTTACATTGTTCTTGGAGCCTACTACTGTTCTAGGAACGTGGTATTGTTCCTGGAACCTATTATTGTTCCTGGAACCTATTATTGTACCTAGAACCTATTATTGTTCTAGGAACTTATTATTGGTCCAAGAACAAATTATTATTCTAGGAACGTGGTAGTGTTCTAGGAACTCATTATTGTTCTAGGAACGTGGTATTGTTCCGAGAACCTATTATTGTTCTTGGAACCTACTATTGTTCTTAGAACCGAATATTGTTACTTATATTACTATAAATTGAATTTATCATCATTGTTCATGGAACTGAACAATGTTCCTTATAAAATCTTTGTTCATTTTGGAACCCAACTACTAAAGAAATTAATTACCTGTAAATCTGCAGTTAATCCACCCCGGAAAACCCATGGCTCTTGATCACCGCTCATAAAAGTTTCTTTCCACCCATTAGAGAACCCTGAACACAAAATATAAATTAATCAATAAATTAATTTCTTAAATAATAATTAATCTAAAATAAATAATTCGACAAGATCTTCAGGCCTCTGCTTCTTAATAATTAACGTAATTAAATATAAATACTCATAATAATATTTCTGATACTCAATTTAATTACGTTAATTATAAACGATCTAAACAATTAATAATTATTTATTATAATTAATAAAAAAAAAAGTTCCCGTACATGTGTAGCTGCCTTGAGTAAACGTCGTCATCGATGACTGGAATTTTCCAAATGCTATGAACAGTACACGAAAAATAGTTATTAATTAATGATAAATGATTGATAATTAATAACTAATGTTAATTACAAAGCGGGTTGATTAGGTTTTTTGGGAGAAATTGCTTAATTAATCATAGTTGATGATTCAGGGATCAGTGATGGTTGAGAGTGCTTACCCAGCCATTTGATATACGAATTAAGGAGGGAGATTACTCCTCTCATGTCCCAGATATAGGAGTACAGGTCGTAGAGAAGTTCTCGGTTGTCACAATAAGTCATTCGCTGGAACAGGCGGTTCACTGCTTCACCCATGTCGTTGAATTTTGCAGCTCTTGATAACCATTCTTCGTACTGGAAAATTGAAAATTAATTTATTAGTGTTCCTAGAACTTAATATTGTTCATGGAACCTATTGTTGTTCCTAAAACATAATATTGTTCCAAGAACCAATTACTGTTCCTAAAACCCAATATTGTTCTAAAAACTTATCACTGTTCCGAGAACTTTATATTGTTCCTAGAACCTAATACTTTGCTAAAAACCTATCACTGTTCTTAGAACGTAATATTGATCTTAGAACTTAATATTGTTCTTAGAACTTAATATTGTTCCTAGAACTTAAAATTGTTCTATGACTGTTCCTAGAACTTGATATTGTTCGTAGAACTCAATATCGTTCCTGGAACCTATTCCTGTTCCTAGAACTTGAGTATTGTTCGTAAAACATAATATTGTTCCAAGAACTTATTATTGTTCCTAGAACCTAATAACGTTTTTTGAACTTACTATTGTTCTAAGAATCTATGACTGTTCCTAGAACTTAATATTGTTCTTAGAGCCTCAACTGTTCTTGGAACTTAATATTGTTCGAAGAACCTATTAATGTTCCTAGAACTCTACATTGTTCCTAGAACTTAATATTGTTCGTCGAACTTAATGTCCCTAGAACTAAATATTGTTCCTAGAACTCAATAGTGTTCTAGGAACCTACTGCCGTTCCTAGAACCTAATATTGTTCCAAGAACCTATTATTGTTCCAAGAACCTATTATTGTTCCTGGAACTCAATAATGTTCTTGGAACCTATTATTGTTCTAGGAACCTAATCCCGTTCTTGGAACAATAAATTGTTCTTAGAACCTTATAAAACTATCCCAACCCCCAAAAAATCAAAAATTAAACTTACATCAGCCTTGCAGCTCTCCTCCTTCTTCTTCAAGACAACATGCGCATTACTCTTCAACCAATTAAATTCCTGAAGAACCTGAATCCCCTGGCCGCCATGTTCAAACGGCAAATAGAACAGGTCACACAGCAACCCAAGATCTTCTATCGTAAGCATCTTATCCTTATCCTTCTCCCCCTCTCCATCAACGCCATCTGTCTCAACAATCATCTGAGTTCCATTGACCTCCTCAACCTGCATGCTTCCGGATGTTCCACTGCAGGTGGAGGTGTTCTCAACCATAGCCTCGTCATCCTTGACCGTCTGACTCGGTGAATTGCTCGGAGTCGTGTTGCAGTCCATCGGTTCCGTTACTTCCGGAGACTCCAGGTTCTCCTGTTGGTTCCTGGAACCAGTGCCATCTTCAGTTCCAATTTTCTGAGTCTCTGTTCGACTTGTTCCAACCATTACAGCTGTTTCACCTGTTCCAGGTCCGTTCTCGGAACATACGGTTCCAAGAACGGAATTCGAGGTTCCAATGCTAGTATCTACCGGTTCCACTTTATTATCCGATACCAGGCTGTTCATAGCTGGACCAGTAGGCCCTGAAAAGTCGCTCGTGACGCTGGAACATACTTCTGCAAGCGCCGCCAGGTGGTTCGTGGTTCCCGGGGCGGTAATTGGCGCAATGGATACCGTCGAGACTGTAGAGGTCGCTGTTAAACTCATACAAGTGTTCACTGAGGGGATTATCGGGATTGGAACAGTGGGCGCCACTGCAGGCTGTGGTTTCGCGATTACACCCCAAGCGGCTTTTTTTTTTGAAAATTCTCCAAGCCAGTCTTTGATAGCTGCTTTTAGGGCGTGTCGTGGGTGGTACATGTTCGGTGATAAGGTACTTGGGACATCTTCCCCCACTACGCCATCTTCAGTTTCAGTTTCTAATTTTATATCCGCTGATACTGTGTCGTTGAGACTCAGGTCACGTTTGCCGTCAACGTTGCATCGGCTCCATTGAGCTAAAGTGTGAATTGCGATAAAATTGGCGCCATATTCACAGTTGGGGTTTGTTAGGACACCTCGTAATTTTGGGATTAAATCTGGTGATCTGAAATTATTTTTATTATTTAAATATAAAAAAAAATTATATTTTTATTTAGGCTGCTCAATTTCTAGGTACGTAATTAAGAAATGATCTTGTATCTTGAGAAATATTAACATTTTTAAAGATATAAGCTCATCCTGATGTTACACACTCATCAATATTTTTTATTTGAGTACCCACATCAATTTTTCATATATTTTACATATTTATATATATTATATATATATAGCAATGAATCATTTGTTAAATAGTACTAAATATTTAATTGGTGGAACTTAATGGGCTTTAATGAATGATTTAGTACTTATTACGTCAATATTTAAGAAAGTACAGAGCAATCCAACAATTATACTTACCTTCCAGAATAAGGTCCCAAAAAAACTCTCTTTTGATCATAATCATTAGCATGAAGATTATCCCAAATAACCGGCGGCCTTCTGAGTACCTCAGTGATCTCTTCAATGCTCTCTGGAGTAAGGAGCCTAGAAATAACCTTAGGCCCGGTCCACATGATGTCAATCTCCTGAGCAAGCTTGCTCCCTAGAGTGTTCAAGTACTCGGAACTTGGAACATTAGGCATGGCTCGAGTGGCGCAATACTGAGTAGGACAGAGTAGGAACTTGGGCTGTCCCAAATGCTGGAAAATGTCATTGGTCACCGAGACCTGGGCGTGGGCGAACGACTGGAAGACTTCTTTGTCAGCTTCGGACATTTCCGGCTCAATGTCGTCGAAGAGCAGGGCGAAAGCTGTGCATCCGAATTGAGAAACTTGCTCCAGTTTTCGCTTAAGAGCTGTTACTTCCTTCACGCTGGAGTAAGTTATGTCCAGACCTGGGGACAGAGCGTAGTAAAAGGTGATTCCAGAATCCCGAGCGGAAGTTATCAGTCCTGTTAAGTGTTCCGCTTCTTCGACTGTGTACAGGTCGCGCCAGAATGCGCGGTGCTTGTAGTCGTCCTTTGGGGCGTACAAATATGAATCCATGCCCCATTTTTTCATTCTGGAAAATATAATTAGGTTAGTTATGAAGAGGATGGAGGAGGGAGGTGACTTACTTTTGGAAGAGGTCCTTTCGCTGCTCGGAGGTCCATGGCCGCCCGTAGAATCCTAGAGGATATAAAATAATATTTAATATTATTTAAATTATATCTCCTAAAATATTGGAGATAGGCTTATAGTATAAAAACGTTTTTTGTAGAAAATTTCATAAGCTACAATTTTGATTACTTATAAATTTTTCCTAAAATTAATATTTTAGGAGTTATAATCATTTTTATAGTGACTAGATTTGAATTTTATAAATTTAACTTTGTTAATAGTACATAAGTAATTATTTCTCCTAAAATATTAAAAATAGGCCTATAGTATGAATACGTATTTAATAGGAAATTTTCTAAGCTACAATTTTGGTATCTTATGACTTTTTCCTAAAATCAATATTTTAGGAGTTACAGCCATTTTTATAGTGCGTAGTTATCTACGCACTACTACGCACAATAAAAAATACAATATCTCCTAAAATATTGAAGATAGACCCATAGTATACAAACGTTTTTAATAGGAAATTTCCTAAGCTACCATTTAGGTCTCATAATTTTTTCCTAATATCAATATTTTAGGAGTTATCGACATTATTAGAGTGCGTAGATAACTACGCACTCCTACGCACGATTTAAGTCACTATATCTCCTAAAATATTGAAGATAGACCTATAGTATAAATACATTATTGATAGGAAATTTTCTAAGCTACAATTTTGGTGTCTTATGATTTTTTCCTAAAATCAATATTTTAGGAATTATCGCCATTTTTAAGCTCCTAAACAATAACCTTTTAATTTTCAACTTTCTAATTATTCCTAAAGTTCCTATATTTCCTAAAATATTCAAAATAACCCCATATTACAAAAACGTTTTTAATAGAAAATTTCCTAAGCTACAATTTAAGTCTGATAATTTATTTCCTAAAATCAATATTTTAGGAGTTATGGCACTTTTTATAACTCCTAAATAATAATTTATAATTTTCCACTTCCTAGTTACTCCTAAAGTTCCTATATCTCCTAAAATATTGAAGATAAGCTTATATTACAAAAACATTGTTAATAAGAAATTTCCTAAGCTCCAATTTAAATTTAGTAATTTTTTTCATAAAATCAATATTTTAGGAGTTACAGTCACTTTTCTAATAACTAAACAATAATTTTTAATTTTCTACTTCCTAATCTCTATATAAATTCCTATATCTCCTAAAATATTCAAAATAGACCCATATAACAAAAACGTTTTTTATAGGAAATTTTCTAAACTACAATTTAACTATTACAATTTTCTCCTAAACTCAATATTTTAGGAGATATCGCCAATTTTATAGTTCCTAAATAATAATTTTTATTTTCTACTTCCTATATCTCCTAAAATATTAAAGATAGACCTATAGTATAAAAACATTTTTAATAGGAAATTTTCTAAGCTACAATTTTACTCTTACAATTTTTTCCTAAAATCAATATTTTAGGAGTTACAGCCACTTTTATAGTTCCTAAATAATAAATTTTTAATTTTCCACTTCCTAATTACTCCTAAGGTTCCTACATCTCCTAAAATATTAAAAATAACCTTTTAGTATAAAAACATTTTTTATAGAAAATTTCCTAAGCTAAAATTTTCTCCTAAACTCAATATTTTAGGAGTTATAGCCACTTTTCCGTTCCTAGATTGCTAATTCCTAAAATTTCTCATAAAAAAATTTTCTAGAACCTCTAGATGCCTCTCAACCCTCTCCTCCAGGAACACCCAAGCTTCCTTATACTCAATCCACAGGATTTTTCATCCTGTACAAGGTTATGCTGACAAAACTCCTAAAATTAACCTCCCAAAAATTAAAATAAATTAATAATTAAATTTTAATTCTTACCCTCGACAACTCCACAAATAAAATTTCCATTTTTGGTATTAGAATTATTCGTTCCATTAGTTTCTGTCATTTTTACTCAACACTCTTATTTTTTTTTTTTTTTTCAATAAAAAAAAATTTTATTTTTTTTTAAATACGAATTTTATTTATTACACATTAATTTAATAATTTATTAAAAAATTAACATTTTTTACTTGCTATTTTTTCATCCAGGATTAAAAATATTAAAAATGTTGCCGAAATAATTTTAACACCTCAAATATTAATTTATTTAATTTATTGCCTTGATTATTTTATTTTTATATATTTTATATTTATTTAGGTAGTAAATAAAGTAAATATTGATGTAAAAAGTGCACTTGTGTACTTAGTTTACTTAGTAACAAGTTATCAGACATTCGACATCATGGACTGCCGAGTTTTGATGTTTTTTTGGGGTTATTGTTATGATTGTAAATAAAAATGGCTCCTGCGCATGCACGGCAAAAATAAGCGGGAAATTTAAAATTTTAAAATTTTAAAATTAATTAATTTAATAAGCTGAATTTAATAAAAAAAAAAAAATATATAAATGTTTTTTTTTTTATTTAAATTTTAAAAAAATCATAAGAGAAATTTTTTTTTCTTAAATTAAATTTTCTAAAATTTTTTTTTTATAAAATCAATATTTTTGTTGTAATAATTGATAATAATTAAGCTATTTATTTTTAAATTAAGGTAAAAATTTTGGTTATTAAAAAGTATTAAAATTTTTTAAATAATTTAAAATTAAAAAAAACATTTTTTTTTTTAAATTGCACGTTTAATTTTTTAAATTTTCTGTGTAAAATTATTATTTTTTTTTGAATTAATTTTTTTAATAATAAAAATTATTAAATAAAATTTCTTTAGAAAAATTAAGAATATTCAAAAAGCAATTAATAAATTGTCGTTTAATTAATCTCTAAGAATAAGACAATTATGAAATTGGATAAATTATTACCTCGACTATAAAATGTGACTTACAATAAAAATTGTCACTTTTATCCTGACAAAAGTATAATTAACACTTAATATCAGCGTCAATAAAAAGTTTTATTAAATATGAGTGCAATTATAATTCCGGAGCACGTGTTGTTCCGCATCTTTAAATACATGGACCCAATTACACTCCTTAAACTCCGTAAGATCAATAAGTACCTAAAAGAGTTGATCGAACAGGATTTCGGTATTTGGCGTCGATTGATTCTAAAAACTTCGGAAATAACACCGTGGAAGGATCAACTGATAAATCTTCGCTATCCTTACATAAAAAGTGAAAATTACAATAGTTTGACTAGCGAAGAATATCAAGAGTTATTTTTCGAATTTATAAAATTGTCCCGGGCAAAAAATGTCTTTTGTGTCAATAAATTATCGGTAATTCATCCATCAATTAAAAAGGAAAACGAGATATTCTTCGACGCACGTGGTAAGAAATAAAGATAAATCTTTGGAATTGACTATAGTAATTAATCGTTATTACCTTTCAGGAAATTATTTCGGGTATTTTAGTAGAACAAGTAATTATTTAGCTCTCTTTCGTTTGGATACTAGTGAAATGTTGATAGAGCCCGTTAATATTTTCAAATACGCGAACGCTCAAGTTGCGGATCCTGATGGAAGGTGGCTCGTGCAACAATTCATGATGTGGTGTCCAAATGGTTAGTATAAAAATAAAAATATAAGATATAGAAACAAATTGCCGAATTGAGATATTAGATATATAAACGTTATAATCCCAGGTAACATGTGCTTGAGCAAGATTTAGGTGCCAGTATCTTGAGCAAAACTCCAAGTTGCTAGTGTCTTTTTCTACATATGGGTCTTGCTCAAGTTCATGTAGAAGAACTGGTTCAAGATTTATATAACTAGCTCAAGACATCTTGTGGAAGAATATGAGACAAATCTAATGCAAGGTGCATTGAAAAACTTTCTGACGGATTTTGTCAATCAGAATCTCACAACAGACACTTACCCATCAGTTGCTCAACATTTGCTCAAGATCCGTAATTCTCAGTAATTTGTTCATTTCTAAAGCATTTGTCAACCAAAAACTAACAGCAAATGTTGAAGCGTGACTTTTGCTCAAGATTTGCTCAATATGCATCATGCATTATATATTTTATAGCACTTTTTCCCCGACAATTACTTGAAGATGTATTGATTCAGTGGTGGTCATTTTAAAATAATTTTGTCTTGATCGATAAAACAGTAGGTCCGTACTCTAAAAGGTTAAGCTGAATGAGATCCACTGATCCTATAGTAAATATAGGAGGGGTAGAATGATGCAAACGGTCATTCGAAAACATTTGATCTTGAGCAAGTCTTGCACAAGTATATTCAGCATGCTTCTGGTGTCAGTCTTTCTCAAGAATTGATATAGTTAGTTTATCGATAAGCATCTTCAAATTTTCTCAATTTACTTACACAATTGTTGAGCTATAATCTGGCCGAAAGTTCTTGTACAAGGCTTGTTCAAGACTTGTCAATTGAATTTGCTACATAACAAGTATCTGGAGCAAGACCCATAGGTAGAAAAAGACACTAACAACTGTCGAAATTGACACCAGACTTGCTCAAGCCTTGAAAAAGATTGCTATATGGTACCATATATTGTTTTTTTATACATAAAATATTTTATTTTACCAGAAAATAGACTATTTTTGATATTCGTACATGTAAGAGAGGGCTTAGTGATATTAGACGCTTTACAACGACGTCGTATGAAGACGCCAACTCTTATTTCTGTAATGCCAATTACTTCTCCGCATGGACATTTTACTTTCTTTAATCTCGTGTAAGTATAATTATGATTGACGGTCTATTAAATCGCCGTAAGTTTTTAATTGCATTTCATGGCTAATTAATTTTATATCAAAGGAATAATTCGAGCGGTGATGATATCTACACACTAATGCCTATTGAAGATACATTGTATCATATAGTGAGGTTAAGATGGGCGACAAAATCTCAAAATTTGGTCGCCGAGAGTGTTGTTTTATTCGAATCTCCGAGCGGATTTTTAGGCATGACACCTATGTCTAAAGTCGATAATTCAACGGTGAGTGTTTAGATATTTTAATTAGAATTTTTTAATACCCTCTCGAGAAAAAATGTTTCTATATAATCATTTATAATTATATATGACTATATAAATATATATAAGTATATAAAATTATATATTTTATCATACATGATTATAAATGGAATTGTATATGAGGTTATATATAATCATATATAATTATATATGACTATATATAGAGCAATATACAGTCAAGCAAGATTATATATAATTATATATAGTTATATATAATCATACATGATTATATATGGAATTGTATATGAAGTCATATATAATCATATATAATTATATATGACTATATATGGAGCAATATACAGCTATGCAAGATTGTACATAGTCTCATATATAATTATATATGCTTATATATAATTAACATACATAAAAATTTTTTCTTTGAAAAAAAAAATTTTTTTTGGTAATCACAAAAAGTGTAAAATGATGTTTATAATTACGTTTAAATAATTCTGAAATACAAAATTTGTCACATTTCCTATGAGATGTTTTGTCTGCACTGCTACTACTATGCGTGACATTAATTTATCCCTGTTCGTGTTGCTTTTGTATTATTGGAAATGTATATTTTTGGACATTTGAATAAATTAGATAAACATTTATGAAAATGGATAATAATATAAAAAGACATCAGTAAAAATGGTTAAAAATACAAATGTACAATTAAATAAAAGGAATAGTCATTTAATGAACATATGATTTTATGAACAATTGAAAAAATGGACATTTAAATTTTAGGAAAAGTGAATAAATGGACATTTGTATAAATGCCCATCAATAAAAATGAATTTTGTAAAAATGAACATTTAAACAAATGAACTTCGATAAAAAAATACTTACTTAAATGGAAATCAGTAAAAATGGACATTTATAAAAATGTAAATTAGTAAAAATGGACATTCATAAAAATGGAAATTAGTAAAAATGGACATTCGTAAAATTGGACATTTCTAAAAATGGATAAATGATTTAAATTTAATTACAAATATAATTATGAAGTTGATAAATTATAAAATTAGGGTTTTTTGGTGTGCGTAAAGGAAAAAAGATGTCAGAAAAGCTGGGAACTCGGCTACCAAGACATCTTCTTCGTAGGTTTTTACGGAAAACGATAAAACATCAATTAGTTCATCAAATATTACAAGAAGATGCCTTTTGGTAGCCGAGTTCCAAGCTCTTCTGACATCTTTTTTCCTTTACGCACACCAAAAACCCTAATTTTATAATTTATCAACTTCATAATTATATTTGTAATTAAATTTAAATCATTTATCCATTTTTAGAAATGTCCAATTTTACGAATGTCCATTTTTACTAATTTCCATTTTTATGAATGTCCATTTTTACTAATTTACATTTTTATAAATGTCCATTTTTACTAATTTACATTTTTATAAATGTCCATTTTTACTGATTTCCATTTAAGTAAGTATTTTTTTATCGAAGTTCATTTGTTTAAATGTTCATTTTTATTGATGGGCATTTATACAAATGGCCATTTATTCACTTTTCCTAAAATTTAAATGTCCATTTTTTCAATTGTTCATAAAATCATATGTTCATTAAGTGACTATTTCTTTTATTCAATTGTACATTTGTATTTTTAACCATTTTTACTGATGTCTTTTTATATTATTATCCATTTTCATAAATGTTTATCTAAGAAAATGTCCATTAATCTATTTGTTCATAACAACTCTTTACCAAATACTTTTATTTCCATTTGGAGATATTTTCAAAAATAGGGATTTCATTTTTTTAAGTTGGCCATAAGTACAGTTGTACATTTATAATTATTTCCTTTTTTATTAATTAATGTCCATTTATATATTAATGTCTAATTTTACTTGAGTACTTTTATTATTATTTCCAAAAAATCAAATGTCCATTTTTAAAAATTTCCATATCCATTTATTCAAATGTCCAAAAATACACATTTCCAATAATACAAAAGCAACACGAACAGGGATAAATTAATGTCACGCATAGTACGTAATAGTAAAATCATTATTTATTTTATTATTTAAATAAGTGTTATATTATAATGAAATTCGGTAAGATAAATAAATTATGAATTATGACTATCCAAATATATATTATAAAATCAATTTTTATATTATATTTATGATAAACTCATATGATACATTAAGTAGATCATAGAATCATTATTGTCTAAGATAGCAGCACAGCAGACAGAAACTTCAAGACGCACGGAAATCACCAAAGTTAAGCAGCATTGAGCAGGGTTAATAGTTGAATGGGTGACCACTGGTGTTATAGCCATAAAATTAGATCTAGATATTTTTTTTTGCATTTTGATCGGTTACACAGAATTGCGTAGGACCATATTAAATACTCTATCCATAAAATTAATTAACCCAATAATTAATTAGATGTAATAAATCTATAATTAAATATTGTTATATATAATTATACATAATTATATATAATTAGATATGATTATATTTGGCCATTTTTCATATATAATCATATATAACCAATTTATATATAAATATATATAAATATTTTTTCTCGGGCTATCAAAAAAATCCATATGGAAAACCAGCCTGAATTCCCACATGGCGTTTTATGGATAGATTCCCATATGGTTTCCTATATAGGAATCCAGGGTAGGATCCTACATAGATTCCCATATTAATCAGGCGAAAAAAAATTTATTTAAAAAATTTAAAATAATTATGAAGTTGTTACGTCCCCACCTGCATTCGCAGATGTCTCTATAGCAAATACGCGCGCTAATTTAAAACTCTAATAATATCATAAATATTCTTATTTTATAAATAATAATGTAAAATGATAAGTAAAGAATTCCAAATGTTAAATATTAAATACTAAAATATTAGAAATAGAAAATGATAAGAAAAGTGAAACTCAGCCAACACCTGAGTAAACAGAATAATCTTAAGTTCACATTAACATTTTCTCTCGAAGGAATGTTCTAAATAAACAAACGATAACGAACGCTTGCGTGTCCTGGACTCTGGAGTTGAGTCAGCGTGTGTCATCCGAGTGGGCCTCGGAAACGCCACGCACATCAACTCGAGAGAACAGGACATTCGGGGCCCGATACGCAACCCTACTCCTCCTAGGGCGCGGCCCTTGGACGAGGACATATAAACAGGGTGCACGGGTAGTTCGAGGCTCTTCTTAATCTTAAAGTTACGCACTTAAGACTCTTCATAATTTATACTTGTCATGAGACTATTAATTCCGGTTACGAAATACCATTACGTACTTCACGGCAGTTGTCAAATCATATTAATTAAACGTGTATTTTAAATAGTTAAATAAAGTTGTTTGTTAATTAAATCCACCGAAGTTAGTTATTTCGGAGTTAATTCGAGAACCTCTACTTACGACTCTGGAGGTCGTAACATCTTTATCTCCAGCTCTAGTTGTTATACCGGCTACCTACAAACCTGTGAGGAAACCGGGACGTAACAAAGTAATTGCTATTAATTAATTATTAATTGAAATAAATTGTGAAAAAGGGATTTTGTAATTTTATCTAATGAAAAAACTGCTGGCGTCTGATGGACTCGAACCCGGTACCTCATGGGTGACAGTCTTCTACGCTACTCACTGGCCTAAGTCACGTTCTGACAAGGTCTATGTTTATTTCACTTATATAAATTCACTATAGGAATCCATACTTGCGATGTTGATTTCCCATACAGGAATCCATCAACCCACAGATTCCTATAGAAATTCATATTTTCTATGTGGATTTTTCATATAGGAATCCAAGTATCCACAGGTTCCGTGTGGATTCCTTTAGGAATCTACACTTCCTATGTAGATTCCTATACGAATCCCATATAATTTTTTTTGATAGGGTATGCATTCCTTATATTTTTCAGGTTTCGCTTATTTACAAATACCAAAACAAGGATGTATTATACCAAGCTAAGGTTCCGGAAACAATAATAAGCCCCATACGGATTAGTAGGAATTCCGGGATCGAAATATTCATGAATAACGAAAACAGAACTTTCAATATTAATGCCCACAATTCTCAAATTTTCACAGTTATAGATCAAACAAGTAAGGATTGATGTATTTTAATTTTCCAAGAAAGTTTTAACATTATCTGTACGGATTGTTTTTTTGCTGTAACTCGGAAACTATCGAGCGAATTTATTTTAAATTTTGCAGGCACTATCGTACCTGTCTACAGATTGTTATAAATTTTCAATTTTTTAAATCAGTTAATAACTTACCGAGATATTGATAACTCGTACATCCGCACTAGAATCTGTACGGATTGATTTTCTGCAATAACTTGGAAACTAATCGACCGATTTGTTTGAAAATTGGTAGGTGGTATCTTAGGTACCTACAGATTGTTATAAATTTTGAATTTTGTAAATCGCTCGGTTAGTTACTGAGATAATAATAATCCGTACATAATAATAATCCGTACATAAAATTAAAATTTAAGATATTAATACTAATAAAAATACTTTTTTTCAAGGAAATCGACTGAGAATTGCACTGAAGTTAAAAAATGGATTAATAAAAGAAAAATCTTACCAATTGCCAATTAGTGAAAACGATCATGTTGCATTCGTTAAAATCTTTATTAATAATCTGTTCATTTTTACCATCCAAGGTCAGTATGATTAACATTATCGATTACTGACAATTGCAAAATTATATTTATTGTGGAATATAAATAAAAATAATTTTTTTTTTTTTTTTTTTTTTTTCAGGCATTGTAAAAGTTTACAGGCTTAAAAATCCAATGCATTTACTTCATCTCACCTTTGACGACCCTCCAAATTTAAAGTTAACGCTTGAAACTGATATAAATTTTGAAAATCTTCAATATATTAAAATCGCATTAAAAAATGACAAATTATGTCTAATATGTTTGGAAAGACACGGTCTAATACATATACTACCATTTCAATAATTAAAATCCAAAAATGTCACATCAAATAAACTTTTATTAGAACAATAAATCGACTTTTATTATTTCAAGATATTATTTTTTTAATTTCTTCAACCCAGGGGAACACAAGTGATATTGCTCCTTGGGTATTGCAGTCAAAGTGAGCAAACCCAATGATATGATCCTCGTGGATTACCGGTGAGCCGACCATCATTTTGAATTCCTGAAAAAATACGCAAAATTTAGGTTTTTTGGAGTTAGAACCTAATTTTGGTACTTAAAAAAATTTTTTTATCCAAAAATCGGGACACTATTTTATTCTATATTAAATTCTGCGTGAAATGATCTACAACAACCTCGAATTGTCCAAAAACAAAGCCTAAGGAAAATTAATTTAAAAACTTTGCTTTCTAATATTTAAAATTTCGCGCTTTTCCCCTCTCTAATTTTTCTCAAGTCCCATACCGATATTTTTGAAAACTGCCGATCTTTTAATACATTATGGTCTAGGGTGATCACTAGAACCGATTTATTAAAAAAAAAGTGCCGATTTCTATATCAGATCGGTAATTATCACCGATTTTGTGTAAATAAATCAGAAAAATTTAATTAATACCTTTTCTGTTTGTTTCATCTTAATGCAGCACTCATTTTCGACCGCATGAGGGCAATCCTTCTTATCAATAATTGAAACATCTTCTTCGTGCATCAAAAAGGTGTCGTAGAAAATATCGTCCTCCTTAACTCTATCTGGGGTAAAACTCCAGCCCTTAATCTTGTAGACGTCTCCCATTTCGCAGCTTTTTGTCGGAAGTTGCATTATTTTTCTGTTGTGATCTTCCGGCATTGCTTCAGCCAGCTTAAAAAATTTAAATAGAAATTAAAAATTAATTAAGGAGATCCGCAAGTATCCTAGTGTAAAGAATGTCGTTAAAAAAATACGTAAAAATACTTTGGTTGGGTTAAAATTAATTTTGGAATTAATTAATAACATCTTTGAGGAAATTTTCGATAAATTCATTCATTAAATAATTATTAGTATTTAATTGACTAATAAAAAATATGGAACTCTTAATTATAATTATCAAAAAAATAAAAAAAAAATTTTTAATAAATTTATTAGAGTGATTTTTGAATTTTTAATTATTTTTTGAATTTGAATTTTCGCGGGCGAGTGACGTAATTCCTTATCCGGCGCGCAACGCCATCTTACAGAGCGCGGGAAAACTAAAATTTTTTAATTTTCTTAAAAATTAGTAAATAAGAGTATAAAAAATAAAAAATAAGGTCTCTATTTATTAAAAATAAAAATTATATGCATATTTAATTAAAAATTTCTTTAAAGAGATCCAAGTACTCTTCTAGTGTTAAATTTTATCTTCTTGTTTTAATTTTTTATTAATTATAAGGATAGGTAGATTGAATTTTCCAAATTTTATATTTAATAAAATTTGAAATTACCTTAAGGATAACCATGTGAGCGTTTTCCATAGTAATAATCTCACTGACAGTCCTGTTGATGAATTCTTCCGTTTTTTTAACCAAATCTGCCTTATAACCAACCGCAATTTTCGCATTAGCTTCAGTATCGCAGTCACTGGATATCAAAACGTGGTTTTTTGATAACATAACTCCTGGACAAGGAAAGTATTCTACTCCCCCGTTGCTGTTTGACATAAAGACAAGCTCAGTTGCATTTTCAATACCGTCTGCTGCGTTAATTCGAGCGAAATCTTTTTTCGCGTTTTCTGATGGAATTTCTATTTTCTTTTCTTCATCTCGGCATTGATTTGGGCCCATTTCTAAAATTATAAATTAAATAATAACAACAACAATTAGAAAAATAATAATAATGATACTTACCATGATGAGCAATAGCTCCATGAAAAATTAAAAAGCCAACAATAATAAAACGCATCATTGTTTGCTAAGAGTAGATTATCAATTAAAATTTTCGCAACTGACAAACTTATCCTATTTATAGTCTCGATCGATGCTCATTATTTTATATTATATTATTATCATAATGCAATGATATAATCAATAATTGCTGCAATAAAGTGAATAAGTCATGGAAATTTCCGGAGGTTTTAAAAAATTGTAAATTGCGAGCGTCGAGGTTATATAAACATGATTATTAAATTAAAATGATAACAGTTATTATTACTTACAAAAATATATTTACAATTTTATATATATTATACATATTTCAATAGAAATTATAGATAATTTATTAATTTATAGGAATATCTGGTCACGAATTGGGACCAAGAGATTTGGACACTTGGATCTTAGGCCGTAGATACCGTCTTGGAGGGAACATACTCCTGATATGTTGCATTTTATCAGGAATTCAGTAAACTAGAAAGAAAAAAATAAGATCCTGAATTATTACGATTTTTTTGGTAGTTTAGGAGTCATGACCCCATATAGCAATCTTTTTCAAGGCTTGAGCAAGTCTGGTCTCAATTTCGACAGTTGTTAGTGTCTTTTTCTACCTATGGGTCTTGCTCCAGATACTTGTAGCAAATTCAATTGACAAGTCTTGAACAAGCCTTGTAAAAGAACTTTCGGCCAGATTATAGCTCGAGAATTGTGTAAGAAAATTGAGAAAATCTGAAGATGCTTATCGATAAACTAACTATATCAATTCTTGAGAAAGACTGACACCAGTAGTAGCATGCTGAATATACTTGTGCAAGACTTGCTCAAGATCTGCTAAAGATCAAATGTTTTCGAATGACCGTTCTTATCATTCTACCCCTCCTATATTTACTATAGAATCAGTAGATCTAGTCTTTTAGATCAAGACAAAATTATTTTAAAATGACCACCACTGAATCAATACATCTTCAAGTAGTTGTCGGGGAAAAAGTGCTATAAAATATATAATGCATGATGCATATTGAGCAAATCTTGAGCAAAAGTCACGCTTCAACATTTGCTGTTAGTTTTTGGTTGACAAATGCTTTAGAAATGAACAAATTACTGAGAATTACGGATCTTGAGCAAATGTTGAGCAACTGATGGGTAAGTGTCTGTTGTGAGATTCTGATTGAAAAAATCCGTCAGAAAGTTTTTCAATGCACCTTGCATTAAATTTGTCTCATATTCTTCCACAAGATGTCTTGAGCTAGTTATATATAAATCTTGAAGCAGTTCTTCTACATGAATTTGAGCAAGACGTAGAAAAAGACACTAGGAACTAGGAGTTTTGCTCAAGACACTACCTTAATCTTACTCAAGCACATGTTACCTCGGTATCTGATAAATTATAATTTCTAATCAAGTAATTATGTGTCTTACAAAGTTTGTCATTTTTTAAAATTTATCTGATGATAAATTATAATTTCCAATTAAGAAATTAATTATGTGTCTTACAAAGTTTGTCATTTTTTACAATTTATCTAATGATAAATTATAATTTCTAATCAAGAAATAAATGCTGATCATCAACATCGTCATAATTTCTTCGATATAGTATAGTATAGTCAGTCCCCCCTTTGAATAATAAACCATACTTACCAGAGCATTATTCTGATCATGGGGCCCAATGACAACAACAATACACTCATTGTTATCCGGATCAGCCAAGACCTTAGCTTGGTTCCCCAACGACTCTATGCTAGTATGCGACAATTGGACACTAGTGAACGGTATGTTAATACTTCCCTTAACAGCGCCGCGCTCATACCTAAAAATTCCAAAAGTAACTTATTATCCAAGTAACTTATTATCTAAACCCAAAAATCTAAACTTACTGTATATTATTCCTGATGTCCACAACAATCATCTTATCCCGTTTGTTTCCGTAATAATTAACGAAGTCATCGATACTAATCCTTGGGACCTTCTCAGTTCCAGGTTCAGGTTCCTTCCAGTGGCTGGCTTTAGATTGGTCGAACTGGTACTTCCGATAAGTAATACTCGTCGGAGTGTTCGTGTACATGTCCATGGAGTCTTTGACGCAGAGCTCGATGTCCACTTCAGGAAGATCGGAAAATAAAAGGATACACTCGTTGAACCCCGAAGTTAGCAGCGCGTCTCTAAGCTGCTTTAAGATCGCGAGGCCAACCATCAAAGGAAACGACGAGTCGCCTAGAAGAAGCTTGTCCCACAAATGGAGTATCTTGTGCAGCGGGAACACGTCTGGAACAGTAATTTTATGGTTAGAATGATAAGCTTGGAAGGCTAATTAGTGGAACAAGAACTTACGTGAGAACATGGTGAGGAACCAGGGAATCGCAAAGAGTTCCGGAACAAAGTTGATGCCTCTCAAGTGGTTCGCTAGCTTGGGATCATGGAACCCGATGATCTGCGAAAATTTTCCAAGGTACTCTTGAATAACAGCGCTGTTGTCCTTCAGGAAGAACTGGTGCAGGTATTTTGGGACAAAAGCCTCCAAGCAGGCGAACGCCAGCGCCTCGTTGTTGAAGTTAAGGTACAAAAACGGCGCTGTGAGCGAGTCTAGACCCTGCCAGTAAACATACTGAGGGTTGTTCCTCACCCAAGCTTTTAAGAGTCTCTGGAGTCGTTCGTGTCCTGATCCAGAGGACAGCAACTCGCTGTACTGGTGACATCTAGGAATGTCCACTTCAATCTGCCGATCAGTGTGCGTTGGAGTCTCTTTGTCAATCTGCTCGTATTTTCTCTGGATGTTTCCGACTACTCCCAAAATGGCTGCCCAAATCTGCCCGCGAAATGGCGGAGGAATGTCCTTGTGGGCTTCTCGAAGGATTGCTGAGCGAGACACTGGGTAGGCTTGGAGCAGCCGCTCGAATAGGACCAGTCGGTAGAACTGGTACTCTGTGTCTCTTTCGCGGATTATTAGAGGAAGTTTAGTGGTTGCGTTGGTTAGCTCGTCTTGGAGGTGGAAGTCTGCTTCTGTTGACAGCTTTGGGCTGTTGGCTATGTATGGCACGTGGCTTAGACGTTGTTTCAATGTTTCTAGAGGTACCTGAATTGATAATGAATATTGAGCAAAACTTAGTTGCTAGTGTTTTTTTCTACTTCTTGCTCAAGTTCATGTAGAAGAACTGGTTCAAGATTTATATAACTAGCTCAAGACATCTTGTGGAAGAATATGAGACAAATCTAATGCAAGGTGCATTGAAAAACTTTCTGACGGATTTTTTTGAATCAGAAACTCACAACAGACACTTACCCATCACTTGCTCAACATTTGCTCAAGATCCGTAATTCTCAGTAATTTGTTCATTTCTAAAGCATTTGTCAACCAAAAACTAACAGCAAATGTTGAAGCGTGACTTGCTCAAGATTTGCTCAATATGCATCATGCATTATATATTTTATAGCACTTTTTCCCCGACAATTACTTGAAGATGTATTGATTCAGTGGTGGTCATTTTAAAATAATTTTGTCTTGATCGATAAAACAATAGGTCTGTACTCTAAAAGGTTAAGCTGAATGAGATCCACTGATCCTATAGTAAATATAGGAGGGGTAGAATGATAAGAACGGTCATTCGAAAACATTTGATCTTTAGCAGATCTTGAGCAAGTCTTGCACAAGTATATTCAGCATGCTACTACTGGTGTCAGTCTTTCTCAAGAATTGATATAGTTAGTTTATTGATAAGCATCTTCAGATTTTCTCAATTTTCTTACACAATTGTTGAGCTGTAATCTGGCCGAAAGTTTTTGTACAAGGCTTGTTCAAGACTTGTCAATTGAATTTGCTACAAGTATCTGGAGCAAGACCCGTAGGTAGAAAAAGACACTAACAACTATCGAAATTGAGACCAGACTTGCTCAAGCCTTGAAAAATATTGGTATTCATACATACCTTAATAACCCTAAGATCCAGCAACCCAGCAGTATCCCTCCGTCGAAACATCTGCCCCAGCAAAATAATCAAATTAGGAATCGACAAAATCGGAGGCCTGGACCTAATCAGTCCCTGTTTCTTCAGCTCCCCAGTCATGTCGCCGCCAGCAAGCTGCCATAGATAATACAAATCGTCCATCTTCCTGGTAACAACATCCAGGAACTCGTCCTGATCCTTGAACTCCCCAGCCCTGAACTCCTTAAAAATTGGAAGATCCAGCAGCTCTAAAGCACTGAGCCGCTTCGAAGGATCAACCTCCAGCGCCTTGGCCACAAACTCCTTCAACTCCTGCGGAATCTTCTTGTAAGTGTCATGCCGGTCGCATTCAAGGGCCAGCCGTTCGAAGATCCCGTTCTTGGAATGCAGCAAGCTCAGGAGCTTCCACAGACATTGGCCCAGCTTCAGCTCCGCCCAGAGTGACCTCTTCAGCAGCAGCTCCGCGATTATCATCCCCAGGGACCAGGAGTCTACTTTAAGAGAGCTGGGGGTGCTCTGCTCGTTCAAAAAAACCTCCGGGGCGGTGTACTTAGGGCTCCCGATAGGAAAAGAGACGTTTCGGCCCATGTCTGTCATGTAGTAGAGTCCGAAATTGTACAGCTTTATCTCCTGGCTCCTGGAGATTAGGATCGTCTCCGGACTCAGGTGTCTGCAACATAAATTTTTGGATTTTTAGATTATCAAAGTCCAGGTGAATAAAATTCTTAAACTTACCTGTGAGTCAGTCCCAGATCGTGGATGTAACTCAGCGCTGACAAACACTGGTAAGCTACGTACTTGATCGTTTCCCAGGAGAAGCTTTCATCACCAATATGTCCAGACAACGGAGACCCAGTGTACTCAGCCACGACAATTGTCCGCTCATGCTTGCTCCTAATTATGTCCAGGTAAGGAGCCAAGTTCCTGTGCCGGACCGTCTTGAGGAACTGCGCTTTTCCGTAGATGGTGATCGAGTTTGGCGTTAATGGCAGTCCGTTGCTTCCGCAGAGCTCTGTTGGGTGGCTCTGAGCGAAGAATGTCATGCCTCCTAGGCATCGCTCTTCGCTGTCCAGGATCGCCGGACACATTTTCAAGGTTTGTTTTGAAAACCAGGTTAGATACTGTTTTTTTTCTTTAGTTATTACTTAGTTATCGTGTGGATGTTAGTAGGCGTTTGTTTTTGGTGACGAGCTTCGGTTTTTTAACGCTAGATGGCGGGAGTTCCCCAAGTTCGAGGCTTATATAGACAAATCTCGCTGTTGGTAAGGACAGAAAGTGGTTTACCGCCTTTAGAGTGGGAAAATAGAAAAATATAAAATTAAATTCTAATTATCGTGAAATATTTTTAGATAAAAATAAAGTTACAAATTATAAATCACTTATTACAGCGTTAGATTATTAAAAGTGACGTTATAACGTCTGTTAAAGTCTTGATAATTAGCACGCTGCTCGCCCTAGCGGCAGCACAAGGTAACTATTTTTGATACCTTTTAACCTAGTCCAGCAGCTTTGATCAATACTTTGTTCTGTTCCAGATGATTACGACGAAGGTACCATGCAGCACGCACTTTATTTCAATAACTTTGAATCAAGGACTACAAGCATCCGTTGGGGAACCCTCCAATTCGTGGGGAAAGCGTTTTCAACTTCCGTGATTGTCGCCGAGAATAAGACTCATAATTACCAGGGGTGCGTTGGAGTTCCCGTTAGCAAGCAGCATGTCCTGATTTCAAGGGCCTGCAATCTCAATCTGAACAAGAAGCTTGTCGCCGTAGCTGCTGGAGCCGTCAATTGGGACCAGGAGAATTTGTTCCGCGATGTTAAGAATGTTGACTCCTTAGGGGAGAATCTTCTTGTTGTTACTGTAAGTAGTCTTCAATCATTAATAATTACATTAAAAGGAATCTTAAGTTAGACTTTTGGTATTCTTTTGCATCTTTTGCAGCTGTAAAATGAAATCGAGGAGGATATCACGGTCTACAGTTTGCCAACAGAGAAACTTCACCAAGGAGCTTCTTATCGTTCCTTTTTGGATGGACTTCATTGTGCTCTGGGCTCAAGGAAGCTAAGCATACCTTCCAGAAGGATATTTTGATCGTTGATGATGAGAATTGTAAGATCAGTGATGATAATTTCGCTTGTGGAGAAGATGTTTCGCGAGAGTTGAATTTGTATCATCCTCGATATGTCGGTTCTGGATCTCGTCCCGTTATTAAAGAGTTCACTATTTATGGATTCACTAATTTTAAATGCTCCAAGAAGGGTTCTATTGATGAAGTTTTTCCATTTGTTGATTCTATTAAGACTCTTATTGTGAACTAAGGCATGTGTTGTTTAATTTTCAATTTTTTTTTTTTTGTAATTTATTTGTAACAGTATTTTATGATTATCTTTTGTGGATCTAATGAAATAAATTGTATTAATGCGCTTACCATAAATTTACCGCTATAATTCTGAAATAATACGTTATTTCTGTGGTTATATTGCCCAGTTTTTTTTACTATAGTTACGCAGCATTTCTACTGTACTTTTGCTGCAAATTTACTAGAATAATAAGATTAAATTACTGTACTTCAGAATTTTTACCGTAAAAAATCTATGTATTACCTATATAATATTCCTATAATTTTACAATAATAAATTGGTATTTCTACGGTAATAATACCGAAGTTATACTGCAATTTTGCCGCTTAAAATAATTAAAAAATAGCAAAAATTTAGTATTTTTTGTTGATTGCTGCATTTAAAGTCATATCATAAAAACTGTGCAGATTATAAAATTTTCATTTTTATTCCATTAATTCTTATGTTTTTCATTCTAATCAAAGAATCATTGGAAGTAAAGCGTAGGGATTGTAGGATTTTTAAAGTTCAAAGATGAGTAAATTAAGTATACAGTAAATATGCGGTAGATTTACTGAATGCTGTTAATATTCCGTAATATTCCTATTGTATTGCCGTAAATATTCTGAATTTATTTCGTAATTTTTCTGTAATAATTCCGCAAAATCTGGCTAAAATAACTGAAGTAGGTCAACATACAGCATTAATATCATATGAATATCGAATCTGCGGGATTTCCAAAACCGCAAGTGACCTCCCTATCAAAAAAATCCATATGGAAAACCAGCCTGAATTCCCACATGGCGTTTTATGGATAGATTCCCATATGGTTTATTCCTATATAAGAATCCAGGGTAGGATCCTACATAGATTCCCATATTAATCAGGCGAAAAAAAATTTATTTAAAAAATTAAAAATAATTATGAAGTAATTGCTATTAATTAATTATTAATTGAAATAAATTGTGAAAAAGGGATTTTGTAATTTTATCTAATGAAAAAACTGCTGGCGTCTGATGGACTTGAACCCGGTACCTCATGGGTGACAGTCTTCTACGGTACTCACTGGCCTAAGTCACGTTCTGACAAGGTCTATGTTTTTTCCACTTATATAAATTCACTATAGGAATCCATACTTGCGATGTGGATTTCCCATACAGAAATCCATCAACCTACAGGTTCCTATGTGGATTCCTATACAAATTCATATTTCCTATGTGGATTTTCCATATAGGAATCCATGTATCCACAGGTTCCCGTCTGGATTCCTTTAGGAATCCACACTATCTATGTGGATTCCTATACGAATCCATACTTTCCTATGTGGATT